TTGACTTTCTTGAAAATACCAGTTCAGTCAGTCCAAGATCCTTAGTATTCTATTCAGGAAATGGTTTCAAATTCAGACTTGATAAGCCTACTGAACATTATGTAATCCGCCACATTGCAGTTCAGTGAACTAACTTCTCCAAGTTTAATATTCTCTGCTTTTCTATGGACCCTGTGTGCACAAAGTCAGACCAGTGTGTCTCGTGTATATCATCCCCTGCTTTGATAGATGAAGCCTCAAAATGTATAGATTAAGCTTCAGATTAAGACTAAAACCTTTGGCCAGTGTTTGGATCTACCAATGCCTATAGAACTATGCAGTAGGTTTGCACATCAAAAAGAAAGGGGGAATGTAGAGCCCTCAGTTACTGTGATAGGCAGGTGGGAGTCGCATTATGAGCCCAGTAACCTTGCAGAGACCTGAATGCATGGTGCCTGCTGGGCAAGGAAAACATAATTGCAAATATTCTCATTGTATATTAGCTAGAATATTCAGAGTGGTGTCAGGGGCCCATAACTGTGTTGCTGTACTTCAGAATGCAGAGAGAAGGTCTTTCATACAAAGCAATCACATGTTCTTAAGCAGCAAGTCCATAGAACTCTGTGTACACACCAATGGCATCAACACACATTCAATACAGGTTTAAAAGAGGGATAGCTGGAGCAATAAGTTATACAGATCAAAAAGAAGCATTTTCTACCATAGCTAGGGTGAATCTCCAGCTAGCAGGGACAATCTTTACATCAAGCAGCTGCCTGGAAACACTGTGACACCATTTTATAGCACACTTACAGCAGCTGTCTAAAAACACAACCACGACATGCAAGTATTACTATATTCTTTTTTTAATTAAATAATGCAGAGGTCATTTAAAATAACAGATCAGCAGTTGGAGGGAGAAAGGTTTAGATTGTGTTGTTGGACATAATAATAAAAATATTGCCAAGAAATGAAGAGCATGGTGACTGGTGGTGCAATAAAAAAGGAAGTGTTTGGGGGATGAAATTTGTTGAATAAAAACAGAGGGATAGTGGCAAGTGGGTAAAGATAGGGTGATAAATTTAGAAAATATGATATTAAGTGAAAGATAACGTGAAACTGAAAAAGGGCATTAAATCACATTATCACACATAGCAGGATCACATTATCACACATAGCAGGTGGCCAGTGGCCTAGTAAATCTTCTCCCATCGGGGGAGATATATACTCCAATGTACACATATATACTCCAATGTACACACACTGGCTTCCTTGGTAATGACTTCAGTCACTGCATATCTACCAAAGATCAGCTAGGATCATGTGAATGGGGATGCAGATGCACCCAGAGTAGCCATGTTTTGTAGCCAGCCACCTTAAAAATAGTCTAAGAGCAGCCCTGGCTGCCAGCATTTAGGGACATAGAAAGGTATGCCTAGGGTCTTTATTCTGGACAGGTGGCCTCAAGCTGCATTTGTGGGTATTCAGAACGGCCCCAGGCTAGTACATTGAGACCCCAGCACTATAGGTTATGAATTTGGGTAATATGGCATTGGTGAAAATGTTATACATTGGATGATCTACTTGAAGACCAATAAATGAGATGATGAAGTGTAACTGCTCTAGTTACAATAGAAGCAAATGCACTGTGGATTGGCAAGAAGTACATGTCCTGTATCAACTGAGTGGCAAGAGAAAGGTGATATCTTCTGACAGGGTTGTCATTATGGGGATACATGCCATACACTTGGAAGTGGCCTGGGACACCCATAGGGGCCCGGAGCCCATATTGCAATAATGTGCAAGCAAGAGTTCAAAGTGCCAACAGACCACAAGAGAATGTAATTTCCTCATCCTTTCCCAGCAGGAGGGAATAAACTTAAATATACAATTTGTATATTTATATAATACAATATAATACAAACAAAAAAAAAATAATAAAAAAAACACACAGAACACAGACCCTACCCCACCCCAGAAATATACACATTTGCATCAATTTTACACACACATTCTATTCTCTATATGTACACTGCATGCACTATACACACACTACATCCCCTACACCAAGCATGTCAAACTCGCGGTCCACAATGGACATCTTTGCAGCCTGGCAAGCTGCAAGTACATGCTTGTTGTTAAAGCAGAGTAGCCACCTGCTTTCCTCACATTGCAGGTGCCTACTCTGCTAAAATTTACCCGACCGGGAGGAGGGCCAGCGAGGGAGCTCAGTGTTCCTGCTCCTCACTGCTCCCTCACACGCACTGTCTGTAGTGAAGCCGGGCGCCGGAGTATGACGAGGGAGCAGTGAGGAGCAGATAGAAGATCCCCACTGGACCCCAGGGAGAGGCCCCAAATCGTCTCCCAAAAGTAGGGAGCAATAAAGAAAATTATGTGTGTGCAAGAATGTGTAAATGTGTGTGTGTGTCTGTCAGTGTGTGTCAGTGAGTGTGTGTGTCTGTCAGTGAGTGTGTGTCTGTCAGTGAGTTTGTGTGTCTGTCAGTGAGTGCGTGTGTGTCTGTCTGTGAGTGTCTGTGAGTGTGTGTGTTTGTCAGTGAGTGTGTGTATCTGTCAGTATGTGTGTGTCAGTGAGTGTATTTGTCTGTGTGTGTCTGTCAGTGAGTGTGTCTGTCTATGAGTGTGTCTGTCAGTGAGTGTGTGTCTGTCAGTGTGTGTGTGTGTTGGTCTGTGTTGCATTAGCTGTGACTGGACAGTGGAGTACCTGGAGGTGCATGGAGGCACGCAATGCCACCTTGCATTCCGGCGTAACATCGACGTGCTCCACCTTCACAGGGCTTCAAGAAGTAGCGGGAGGATTAGATTTGGCACAGGGTGTGGACGGCACCATTTGGGATATACCTGAGGCTGGACTCCGGAGTCGCATACTGGCAGCGGCAAGGTGAGTAGAGTCTGCTTGTTGGCTAGAGGGGGGTGCTGGGATTTAGTAGAGGGGAAGGACTGGGATTTAGTATATGGGGGACACACTGGGATTTGGTAGAGGGAGGTGCTGTGGTTTAGTAGAGCGGGATGCTGGTTTTTTTTTATACTGTACTTTTCAAAATAAACATACGTTACTATGAAAATTTTAGGTTTTTTTTTTGCGGCCCACATTAAGTTATTATTATTATTTTATTATTTATATAGCACCATCAGATTCCGTAGCGCTGTACAAACGGTGGACTAACAGACATTTAATTGTAACCAGAAAACTCGACGTACAGGAACAGAGAGGTGGAGGGCCCTGCTCAATGATCTTACATTCTAGAGGGAGTGGGGTATAGTGACACAAAGGGTAAAAGTAGGGGTACGAAGTAAGTTGTTAGAAAAGTATTTGCTGAGGGCTTAATAGATCATTTTTGACAGTTGCAGGAGAGGAGTCATGGAGGGTGGGGGATGAAAACCTGCTAACAGTTTAATTGATATGCTTTCTTGAAGAAGTGAGTTTTCAATGATTTTTTGAATGAGTGGAGACTGGGTAAAGTTCTTATGGAGGAGGGAAAGGAGTTCCACAGAAGAGGTGCAGCCCTGGAGAAATCTTGGAGGTGAGTGTTAGAGGTGGGAGTACGGACAGAGGATATACGTAGGTCTTTGGCAGAGCGTAGGGGCCTTGACGGGACATACTTGTGTATTAGGGAGGATAGGTAGGTTGTAGCAGCATTAGGTAGTGACTTGTAAGCAAGCACCAGAATTTTTAATTGAGCCCTATATCTTACTGGGATATATATATATAAAACTTAAACCTTATGTGGCCCGTGCTAGACTTTGAGTTTGACATGCTTGCCCTACACACTACATTCCATAAACACTTATACACACATTATATCCCCTACAACCCACACTACATCCCAGCTCTAAGTGTTTACAAGTTAGTGGCCTTTATCTGTGTATTGTTCCCTTGAATTTCTCATGGCATCCCTGTCTACTAGAGAGGCAGGGAAAATGACGTGGGGTTTGCAGAACTCTGAGCTGTGTATCAAATGTGCGGGTGGCAAAGAAATGGAAAGAATTAATTCAGAGCAGAGGAAAACAATTTTTTGTTGCATGTAGCACAGTGGTTATAAAGCTTAAGAGTGTGCTTTTAAGGCAGAGTGTTGGAAATATTATATATATATGTCCTGTCAACCTAATGTTCCTGCAACATTTTGTAATGGTGTCGTTTATTGTTAAATTCCATCCTTTTATAATATTGTAAAGCACTGCGGAATAGGTTGAAGCTCTATAAATAATACTAATTTATATATATATACACACACACCAATAGAAATACATTCACTATTTTATGCAACTATACATTTATTGTTTCCAGTAAGTACTCTCCAAGTCTGCACATGTACCATGAATATATGCATCAACAATATATTAACCTGCAAAGTTCAAGTTAAGTATATAAAGGTTTATTGAGGATGGAGTGACATGGTCTGAGTGAGAGTGGCCACCCTGCTGGGTGTGGGAAGCCCACATAGCCCATTCATTGACTAGCTAGCCAGCAGGTCCTTTGTTTGGTGCAGCTGCTGTTTCCTGAAAGCATTTGCGGCCATAAACTTCGCATGGAGGGAGATTTTTCACAGGGCAGTGCTGGGAGACAAAGGGGGGATGACTTTGAGCCGGTGAGAAGAAAGGCAGGCTGTATTTTATGGATCACAGACACGGTTGGTGCTGTATATAAGGTGGCCTCAGGCGCCCCCGAGCAGCCTCGGTCGGGAATGTGTCTATTTGCAGTCTAGGCCCAGACAAGCAGGCGCTTTATTAAATGCCGGCAGACAGCCAGCGCCACTTAAAGGGCGAGCTGGCCCTTTAACGCGCGCTCCCGGCGCTCGCAGGGGGCCGCGCGCTCGGCCGAACGGAAACAAAAGATTCTTCGACCGACGTCATTAGCTGTGCGCGCCGCCCAGTAGTCGTGGAGGTGTGGGGAGGGGGCGTGGCCTGGATCGCGACCAATCGACGGTCGTTCACTCGTCCTCGCGCTGTGGGCGGTGACGCGGCTCCGCCGAGGCTTGGAACGCAGGTTTGTGCGTGTCACAGTGATCCAGGAGGCCGGCCGCGCCGTGCGGACGCGTGCTCGTTATTGCGCTCGCCTGTCTGGATCGGTCGTGGTCGCGCAGGGTTCGTGGGTGCTGTGCGGATGTTACTATGGCGGAGCTACCGGCCTTCTTCCTCATCACCCTCAGCCTCCTGGTAGTTGGGGAGGTCTCCTATAAGGCAGAAGGTAAATACGGTGCTTGTGCTTTGGCGGTGACAGCTATGGGGTAATCTGGTAATGGAGGCGGGGAGGATTCTAACCAGCACTGGCTACAGAGTGACTGAAACATAACACTACATAAACAGGGGGTCCTACAGGCCACCCAGGGCCGGGGTAGACAGCCCTCCGCACTCCAGATGCTGTGCACTACATCTCCCATGATGCTTTGCCAGCATTTTGTTTTTTAAAGCCGTAAGAGCATCATGGGAGATGTAGTCTCAACATCTGGAGTGCCAAAGGTTGTTTACACCTGACCTAGGGTGAGAGAGTAGGGTATGGTGGAAGGGGTATTGGCGATGGCTGTAGTAAAGGTAACCCTCTGAAGAGGAAGAGGTGGCACATTATGTACATGTTGTTGTTATGTATCTGTGAGAAGATGGTGCTTCTAGTGTTTTGCTTTACGTGGATAGCTCTAAGTCCATATATATGCTGTGCATTAACACCTGATAGTCAGTCAGGATGTGTATTTACAGTAAGAGACACCCTGTTCTTGTATGCACAGTTTGTTTACATCTTGATTTACTAGAATTCTTGGCAGTCACTTGTGTGACAGATGCATAGTAAGAATGAAGGTTATTTGGAGTCAAGTACATATACTTTGAATCAAGACTCTCCCCACATTTAGAAGTGATAATAGCTTGTGGAGAAACCGTGATGAATAAACACTCTCATTGGTTTATTTATTGAAACGTGAATTGAAAACTGCATACATGCTAAATGTTAAAACAATATATTAAATTTGTATGGGGAAACGACGACTTAAATTCAGTATTTGTTCCCAACACAGTTATTTAATTTTTGCAAAGTATGTTTTTAGTTTGTCATGATTTAGTGTATAGCAAAAAAAAAACAAGCAAGTTTAAGTGGGCAGTTAGATTTGTGAAAGCAGCTGGTGGCAAATTGGGTAAGGGGTCCCCGTGACGCAAGAACTAATTGAGTTTTATAAGCAGCTTAGGAAATATATGGTTTGTTTTTGTTGTTCTAACAGGCAGCAAACGTGGTAAGTAATAGAAGTAAACACAAGTATCTGCAAGTACATGGTGTGCTGGGATACATTTGCATTCTACTCTGTAGGGGTTCTAATTATCCATTAGCAATTCCAGCTATATGCTTGTTTTCTCTAGTAACCATTTAGTGGGTTTAGGATAATCTGTTTAGTAAGTCCATTGCTTATTTTGATTTGAGCTGCAGTTTTTCCCTGGTCAATTACAACTAGGCATTTAAATTGAAAAGTGCTATGTCTACTTATTGCTGTTTTAATGGTTTATTCTTGTTAAGATGTCATCTGTTTACAAATTCTTGCTTTTCTTGAACTAGCTTTTAAAATACAGAGTCCAATTTTGTTTTGTTTCAATTTTATTCTGGCACTGAAAATGTTCCTGGAGTGTAGTCATTAAATTTGTAAGGGTGCTCAACCCAGATTTCCAGCAATGGCCTATAAATACATTTCTCCTAGAACTAAATTAAGCGATTTTGTCTAGAATCTATTTTAATATTTATTTTTAATGAGTGCCCTTTATCTTTCATCTTGTGTGTCTTTGGGAAGACATGCTTAATTTTTAGTATGGCATGTCTACGTCGTATTGTAATGGTTTTTAAGTAATGTTATGATTATACGTGTATATTTGTGATTATGTGTTTTTGAGTTAAAGTAAAATTATTCAGAGCGGCAATAGAAAGGAGAACATTTTGATTTAATTCAAATTATAGTTATTCTGTGTGTTTCTGTATTCCTTCACTGTTTTGTTAAGGGGTTTTGCTGATCATATTCACTTTGTTGCTTTGTGTAATCTTGGCAAATAACTTATCATATTAACTTTAGCAACACATTTTATAAACCTTAGGGGTGTCGGTGTATTAATATTGTTTTTGTATTTTATTGTACCATAATGTATCAATGCAATGTTTTGTGGACTCAAGACATGCTTGAAAACGAGAGAAATCTCAATGTATCCTTCCTGGCAAAATATTTTATAAATAAATAAATAACTATTGATTACTGTTTTGTACCAGGACAAATGACTATACATGTAGTGATACAGTTAGCTGGATATGCATCTGTTGTCACAGATGAAATATGAAATGGTTTTTTTTTTCTTAAAGTATTGCTAATTATTTCTATATGTTTAATTGAATGCATTATACCCAGATCATATTTAGTACTTTTGTACTTTATAGTAAAGTAGACAATAAACCTTGTATTCTTCTGTGAATCACTTTTACACAAAACGTGTTAAATAGCTATGTTTGTAAAACGTAACAGGCTCTAAAAACACTGTAATTCAGTCTCAGAAATATAAAAGAATCAAAATGTTTTCTGTTAGCATTGTTGGGCGTAACAGACGGTTACATTTATTAAAAGTGTGTTCTGCCAAATCATGTGGGAGTGCACCTTTTGAAAGGAATGTATCATAAAAATACAACAAAATATAAAATGTTATAATAAGCTGAAACCAATTGCCATTTCTAGTAGAAGTCACTAAGGAACATTTTTACCCCTGTCCAGTCTAAATCTGATCCTTCAGGGTTTATTAAGGGCCAGGTGTTAAATAGCAGGTTCATTAATTTTCGATAATAAATCATGTCTTTCTTTAATACTATGTCCTCTTGTGCTAGAAATTGTACATTCATATACAAAATCCAATAATAGGGACAAACACAACAGAATGTAATATACAAAGCCTCAAATGATAACTAATGCTATGCCCATTGTTACAAATCCTTCAGTCCATTACCATTGAAAGTCATTGACTACTAATTGTACATGTTATTCGTATCCCCCTGGAAAGTCCTTGAATATTGATTTGAGTCACTGCCTTAGTCTACCTGCCTGCAATGCTGGGAAAACGTGGCACTATAATACCAAATCAAAACGGTAATGCTTATTTCACAAACAAGGTTATTACGTCTGACAAATCTGTTTATGTTTGGGGCTCTTTTTACACAATATCAAAATACAAAATCATAGGAGCATAGGATAAATCAGATAATTTAAATATTCCTTTTTTTTTTTCTTAAGAGGTAGCAAAAAGAAAACTTTGTGCCCCCATGACATTTTTAGAAAATTAAATATGGATTAAATCACGCAAATTAATCTGGTGATTTCTGTATAAAATCCACGTCTTAAATATGCTGCAATGTGAGTGATCACTATCTATTTCCATTTTGCCTTCTTTTATTTTGTGACCTTGTACGTGTGCTCCGTGACCACGCTGTCATTTAGGAAGCTAACTGCAGTACACATTTCTGATCAGTAGTAAAGATCAATCATGCTTTTATAATCTCATCAGTGTAAGCCTGGCTGTAGTGTGTTCCAGCTTAAGTTGCATTAAGCATGCAGACATGACCACTTATCTTTGCAAAGTCCCCAGTCCCACCCGAGGGGACATGTCATAAGTGTCTGCACTTGATAATAATGCTAATGGGAATTCCTAGCACACTCTCTATTTTGAGAAATGCTATATGCCCAGGACATACTTGAAAATGAGAGAAATCTCAATGTATCCACCCTGGTTAAATATTTTATAAATAAATATGCCCCTGTATAAGATAATTAACATGAGGATACTAGCCACCCCCATAGCATATTCTTTGTCACTTCTAATAAATTATTTTATCACAATTGTTGGGTTCTGTACAGGAGCCTTCAGTGTGACATTTTCCCACAATTCTTACCTTTCCTCCGTTTTCTTGTGATACCTCCTTTCCGTATTCCCAAACGCCGGCAAAACTAGCGAATTTCGCCCTAACAGAATCAGAGCAGTTCCTCCATTCATGTTAGGACAAAATTTGGGACTTTTGTTCGGTTCAAAATTTCCCACGGTATTAGGGAGCTATCTACCAAAAGGCTGAAAGACCAAGATTGGTCTTTCAGCCAACTTTACTAATAAGTAAAAATGACTCGGTATAGGTTATCTGCCCCTACTTGCTATATTGTGTGTTGGGGCATGTCTAGTAAACAGTGAGCAGCATGTGGTCCTATGGTGGGGCATCTATTAACTAGTGGGGGGGAGGGGAGCATAGTAAAATGTATGGGAAAAATACTTGCACCAGTCTGCCATCAACAAACATTTTTATTTATTTATAATTGGGAATATTGGAAGTGGCAAAAGATGAGCACAAGCTTCATTATATGATGGTTTTGTTCTGGGCTATGAAAATGTTCTTTGGGTTATAATAGGAAAAGCAATTATATGGGAACATTTTAAATTGGAGAAATTGCCATGGACACCAATAGGATTTTCCTGCTGATTGCCCCACTATAGTCTCATCAGTGCATATAATGCTCTGATCAGCACTGCATAGAATATACAGCTTTAAATGACCGTTTATTACTGATCATTTTTGGTGGAGGAGGGGTTGGGGTTGTATTTAAGAAGCACACCTGTAACTTTTTGGTGCAATTAGGCCACCTCTAGCATGGGGTCAGCACTTGTGTGTCTTTCATATTGTTGCTTGGGGCAATATTCATTCTGCTATAAATACTGAACACAGCAACTGTAGAGAACAAAGCTCCCTTTCTCTGTCTGGAAACCTGACGTTTTATACATGTCAAAACAGGTCCCTCGAGGTTGGGTTTCATGCACAGAGTAGACACACAATCCTGATCTGTTGGCTTAAAGTTTCTATAGGACAGATGTTTAAAATATAGTAATTTTGTCCTAGTACAGTAATGATTTCTTTTCTCTTTGCTTGGAAGTATGTGCAAAATTCAATGCACTCTGTCTACATGGAGTAAAGGCCTATATGCTTGGTGTGAAGCTGCAAAATAACAGACCTTAAAATTGCCCTCCCACGCTAGTTTCTCCATACTCAGATCACACAAGACATGTTCACAACATAAAACCTGCCTTTGAAAGGTGGAAACATAAGAGTTGGTTCAGCAGGTTCTTTTCCTTTGAAGATCTAGGTTTACGCTCAGATTAATAATGACCTTGTTTGAGCGACTGCCTGATTTTTGTTTGCTGGCTGCATGGACATCTTTTTATTGTTTGTCCCAACTGTTAGTTAACTTGTAAACTATGTACAGATCCATGCTTGCAGAGCTAAGCATTACAGATACTGAGACTTAAACTTTAAATATGTTCATATACTCAAAAACTAAACTATAGCAAAGATGTAATTATGAACTGAATATGTAAGGGGAATGGAACATCTGCATATTCTAGATCCTGTTCTGTAGTAGCTGGTTAGATACCCCCTTCCTACAAACACACACTCTTCATTGATTGGTTGATTTTGTATGAAAATCAGTGCAGTTAAATCTAAGGTGCCTTTTTCTTTTGTCTTTGGCTGAATTTCTGCATGTGGGTTTCATGTAAGAATATCCTAGCATGACAGCTGTTTTAAAGAATAGTAAATGAAATTGAATATGGTAGGCTTTCTTAGGAATGTACTGTTGGTTGTTATCCATAGATCCTGTTTTGTCTGTTTCTCAGAGGATAAAATGAAAAGGTCTTAGATATTTTATTCTTTCCTGGGGAGCAGGACAGGTAGCAGTGCGTGGGAGGTGTTTAAACTGCTGTTTTTAGTGCTCACAGCAAACTCCATCCTTTTGTTCCAATGCACCTTTTCCTGTTGATGTAATTTTACATTCCAGAAATACTTCAACACCGGACAAATATAAAGAACTGTCTGGGACTAATTTCTATAGGAGAAAACCAACACGTTTGTGTTGCTATGGTTTTAATTTGAACTAAATAGCACCATGCTTGTATCCTGTCTCTTTTCATTATCGGAGTACAAAGGAGTAAAGGTTGTCAATGTAGGAAATTGCAGGTAGTGTCCGTCTCTTAAGTGCTCATCATTTGATTCTGCCCAGGGTATATAACAAAGTGAGTAATTCATAGCTTGTTGGTATTGTTGGCCACCACGTCTCACCTGATCTGAAATTTAGATGATCGCAGCACATAGATCAATAGGATATTTGGGGGAAGGAAATGTTACGGTAATGTTAGTCAATTCTTTTTAGCAAAACAAGTAGAAATGTGACACATGCCATCCAGCACAAGGTAAAAGGGAAGGCAGATCAGGGTGAGGAGGACATTGTTGGTGGGGCAGGTGTGCTGGCATCAGATGCCATATTTGCTGACTGCCATTTTGCTCCAGGATTCACATAAGCTACCTAAAACTATTGTGCCTTGCTGGCTAATGACGGCCAAGTGACATAGCCGGAGGTGAAGTTACACTTCTGGCAGCAGAAGGGTTAAACTCTGTATATGCATCGTTGTTATATTAAAACGCTGCACATACAGAATTCCAGCACCATGGCTACTTCAAATCAGTGGAGTGGTCATGGTGTTTGGCAATATAAATAAATTAAAGGGTTACACCAAAGACTCACATAACCTACATATCATTAGTTTGGTGAGACCGCTTTAGACAATTATTTCCGTGACCCGTTCAAGTATACTTAAAGCAAAACTGCACCATTAGACTATTTGTGCCATCAGAAAAGTCTACATTATTTTGGAAAGCAAGACCACTACAGTTAATAACTTGAAAAAATTACTTGGTATTGGTAATTAATCTGCCCCTATTTGCTATATTGCGAGTAGGGGCATGTTTAGTAAACAGTAAGCAGCCTGTAGCTTCCCACTGTTGTAACCTCCACCCCTTCTAAAAAATGGCCCCATGGTGGGGCATCTATTAACTGAAGGCTGAACTTGATGGACGAAAGTCTCTCTTCAGCTATGTAACTAGTGGGGGGGGACATAGTATCGTCCCCCCCAAGCCTCCATCACACCTTTCAAAAAAGAAAGCAACCAATCAGAGAGTTATGAGTCAAATTCCACAGCATGGGGAAATTCCAAAGAACTTTCCCACGCTGTGTAAAATGACTCGGAGCACTCTGGTTGGATTCTATGCCAACCAATAAGAGTGCTGTGACAGGTAAATGTAGAGACTTACCTGTCGGTCTCCTCATTTGCCTGTCAGAGCACTCTGGTTGGCTTAAACCAACCAATCAGAGCGCTCTGAGCCTAATTGCAGGTCATGGGAAGGCTTTATAAGCCTTTCCCGCCCTGCGAAACTCAGTCTGCACCGTTCCCTCGCTGGGTGAGGATGGATTTTATTTGGGGGGGAGGGGGTTTGCGCTTGGGCTTTTTTTTTTTTTTATTATAAGTTCAATGGATATTTTTGTGTGGGTTTTTTTTTTTTTTTTGGCCTTTTTTGGGGCTGAAAAGAGAAGGTTTTAGAAAAAAGACCTCAAATGGTAAGTATTTTATTTATTTACAGGGATTTAGATTTATGGTCTCCCCCTCACTATATTTAGGGTGAGGGGGAGTAGGTAGTACTTTAATTTTTTTTTGAGATGGCAGGGGGTGACTATTCACCTAGGGGTGGGGGATATTTTCACATGGGTGGGAACCGGGGGGGATGACAATAGGTTTTCCCCCCACCCCATTTTCATTTAGGGTCCCCACCCACCGTTCAAGGGTGGGTGCCTGGTGGGAGGACAATAGGTCCCGCCCCTGCCCTTCCCCTGCTGATCATGGGTGGGGGCTGGGGTGCAGGACAATAGGTGCCCCCCCCCATTTTTATTTAGGGCCGCCACCCGCCATAAACAGGGTGGGCCCTGTTTAGTTGCATAGCCCCCAATCGCAGGGCACAGGTGGAGGCTTGGGGGGGACCCGACTGGTTGTTAGAGGCCCCAACAGGGCGCTTTTTTTTCTTTTTTTTTTTTTGAAAAAGGGTGGGGGAGTTTACACCAGTGAGCAGCTGCTGGCTGCTCACTGTTAAGTAGTCACTGGCTGCTCACTGTTTAGTAGACATGCCCCTTCTCGCTTATGCTATTATAGGGGTCATATTGACCCCTATAGATTGAGGGAGGGCTTGGGAAATGGCGGGGAGCACTGCACCCTGCCGCTTCTATTTTTATATATTACAAGGAGGGAGCTGCGCACCGGTAGTAATAAACCAAACAAACTAACGACGAGGTTTTTGTTCATTCGTTTGAAATTTCTGTTCATTTATTCGTCTTTCTGACAAATGATTGAATGAAATTCCCATTCAAATGCCCTAGTGTTTAACTGGGCATGCCCAGGAATTTCATAGCGCTATATAGTGTGGGCAGATGACGTGTCCCACAGGGACTTCATCTACCCACACAAAGATGGCTGCGCCCAGGACCTAGGTCCGGGCAGAAAATTAAGATAAGAAAATGGGTAATATGGGCGCTTAAGGGCATTTGGTGGTGACCAGGAGGCAATTAGATGTAGTGGAGTCAGGATGGGGGGAGTAAAAGTAACTGGATTCGGCCATGACAGTGGACTTCTGGACTTCTCGTTCCATCTGTATTGGCATTAAAACTTAAACATATGTCACATGTTCTGCATTAAAATATGCTTGCCTTCAAGAGCTCATACTTCACAGGGCATGCTCAGCGGAATGAATAGAACGTTTAACAAGAAACATCAAAGTACTGCTTGCATCCCTGTGTCATAGTAAATCATCAGATGCTGTCTACTTTCAAATGCTCTGTAAAACAATCTTGAGCTGTGCAGAACCCATATTTGCAGCATGATGGGCCATTAATGTATTGCAGGGCACATATTGTGAATTGGTTAAATAGATGAGACATAAGGGGTGCAGGGCATCTATATGTTCACTGTCTTAAAAATGTCAGTTTCAGATTACTGTCATCTGAGAGCTGAACAGCAGGAAGGCCGTTCTGGTCCTTGTGCAAAATAGAGGAAAAAGTTGAACTTGGAAACCTTGCAGGTTCTGACATGTTTTAAAACTCATTAAAACAATCTTAGTTGATGAGAAAAATGTGAAAATAGTACATTTAAAGTCATCCTGGGTCAGTTCAACCTTTAATAAATAACATTCCGTGTATAAGGACCCAAGATTGGGTCTGTGTATTTCCTTTACTTTTTTTTTTTTTCTCGTAGGATTCTATTACATGATTTCGTCTATCATTTAGAGCAGGGGTTCTCAACGTTAGTCCTCAGGACCCCCTACCAGTCCAGGATTTGGGGATTACCTGGGTGTGTCTCAGGTGTTTAGAAAAAGGGAAAAAACACCTTAGACTCTAAGGTGTTTTTTTTTTTCTTTTTTCTTTTTCTAAACACCTTAGACACACCCAGGTAATCCCTAAACCCTGGACTGGTAGGGGGTCCTGAGGACTAACGTTGAGAACCCCTGATTTAAAGAGTGGGTAAAAAGGAAAGAAACTGGAATCATTTATTTCAGCTTGCTCCTTGACTAATACTCAACCACACTCTCACACCAGATCAACCACTTTCCTGTATAAAAACTTTAAATTTAGACATTCACTCACACATAGATATACATTCATAACTAACCAGTCACAAATTTACAAGCATAAGCCTACTATATAGATATACTTTCAAACACAGACATTCATACATATACAAACACTTGCTAAATTTATTTAAACTCTCTACTGCCAGCCTCCCCACCTTTGCTGGCTTTCACAATTTGAGGTCAGCATCTCCGTCACTGCCTTTTAGTGGGGAAGATGGCTGTTGCTGCGTAATGCAGTAGCAGAAGTAATTTATCCCTCCCCTTGCCTTTCCACACATTGTATTAAAACATTCCACCAGGGCAATGTGACATCATTGATGTGTATTGGGATCCAGTGCAGGAGTCCAAAGGGGTCTCTGTGCCACATTATTCTTTTGACCTATTATGACAAACCAGAAGACAGATTTTAAGGGTCATGTCTTATTTTGGTTTGCAATGATTACTTCGTGCCCTGGCTTTAAGTATCACAAACAGTTTAAAAGCAGTCGGCTGGTAGGCCCAACGGTGCAACATTTTTCAACATTACCACTGGACTATAATCTGGCAGTCTCTAAACCCTTAACCTATGTGGAAATTTCAAAATGTTATCAAGAAATCACCACCAATTCCTTCATTTTTTCATTCCCATTTTTCTGTCAGGCATCCTTTTGTGAACATTCTTGCAAATATAAGGGGACAAATTATTATTATTATTATTATTATTATGTTTTGTTTTATGTAAAATAGACATGCTCCAGTAGTCTATGAAGTAACTGTAAATGTGAAGCAGTATTTACCCCTGCTTTTGCTTGCTAAAATATTACACCCAGATTTCACATATACCATTTGTACCCTTTCTACATATGTTTCTGGCTATTTCTATAGCAGATGCTTGCCAAGCTCACATTGTTACTGTGATCACTTTATTCCTTGGTGACTGATGCCAGTCTCTTAACATCCATCTGAAATTACTATACTCTCCACCCCACTATCTCTGCTATCATGATTCTCCCTGGAGTGTCCACGGAAACTGCACATGGATCTCCTTTTAAGCTGTTTTCACTGTAGATAACCGCATACTTAGTAGTCCGTCACGGTCCTTTTTGGTCATGCAAATGATGTGTTCTCCTGGATACACTACAGTTTGGTGCACCTAGTGAACAGAATGACAATGTCCACTTCAACAAGCTAGTAGATGAGAGAATTCAGCTAGTTTCTGATTTCCCACTGGCTGTCTGTAGGAAACCTTTATAGTTATCCATCATAAAACATTTCTGTTCAGTTATTACTCCCTGGTAACTACCATTAATGGAGAATTCTATGCACAATTGTGGTGGTTATGGTGCTATGAATCTAGTTTTCTATTACACGATTTTGGACCAGTTTACCAAACTTAGAGCTGTCCCTTATTACTCTTGTTGCAGCCACACTTATTATGATAAAATGACACTTTCACATTATCTGGTATTTGTGATATGCCCCTATCTGTTTTTCCCCAGCAGCTAAATAATCTGCTAAATAATCAGTCTTTACTTGAGCCCCATTAGATGGGTTCTTGTACCTTTTTGTTTTATGGAGTTTTCCCTTTGTAAAAACACTATTTTTTGTTTTTAGTATTTTTCAGTTTTAGCCTTCAAACCTGTTTTTAAACAGAATGTTAACAATCACAACATACGATGTATGACGTAAGTGTTTTTGTGCATACCTCACTGAGGAAGGAATGCAGGAACCTCTCCAAAGAAGAATACCATTGTGAAACAGTCTAGAATAGTTCTGGGGTGAGGTTAAAAAAAATGTAAGAGGTAGCATGTGTTTAAAGATAAACAAAAAAATGGCTCTGTTTCTGCCAGCCAGACAGGTTATAAACGTTTTTTAAAATCTTTTGTATAAGAACATTTTGCAGTTTACTTTTAGAAGCAGATATTTTTCCAATTTGGTTACGCACTCTGAGTAGTTGTAGTTTTGCAGGTTCTTTATTGCAAGGTAGACCTTGAAACATTTTGCTATACAAATGATTGTTGGGCTTCGAATAGAAGAGATCCCCTGCCATCTTAGTATATGGCCAGCCATTTCTTACTTTTCTCTCTACACTGTCTTTGTTGACATGTTTTTTTGTTTTTTTACTGCGTCAACATGCGTGGACTTTGGAGTCTATTCTGTAAATGTCCTGTTTGCTAGAGCAAATGTTTACGCCTTCATTAGGCTTAATTCTATGGGTCTCATCTCTTTTAAATACGCACTGTAACTGCTTCATATCAATTAAGTGGTAATAGTGTGTGGAATCCTCTAAAATTAGCATTAGCCTGAGCAGCAGCGGGTGGCTGTGATTGGCTGTGAGTGTCAGCTGATGGTACGATTCGTTTTGCTAGCGAGAAGAGTGTATTTTCTGCTTTAGACATACCTCCAGTAGGTTAGTTGGACTGCTTGGAAATAGTTTATCACTTTTTATGGAGACTGTGCACTGTAACCAATTCATTGTGCTGTTTGGGTCCATGCTGTATTTCACTGGGACTCATTACTGTGGTTGGATTTATTTATAAATCACTCAACCAAATTGCAGCCTAACTGCAACTGAATTTCTTTGCTGTTGGGAGAAAGAGGAAGAAAATGTAAGGTTTCAGGTGATGTTAGTGTTGAAATATTGTTATAGGGTATTGGGTTATGGATAAAAATTCCTTAGTCTGTATTTGAGAATTGGATTAATTCAGGATTTGAGAAATTTGTTTGGAAGCCAGTTTTTTTTATTTTTTTTGTGTGTGTTTTTTGTTTGTTTGGTTTTTTTTTTAACTACGAGTTTTATTTTCAACAAGAAAAAATATCTTTAAAGGGACACTATAGACACCAGAACCACAGCTTAATGAAAAGTCAGTGTTTACATTGCTGCCTAGTAACCCCTCTAGTGACGGTCACTTAGGCAGCCGCTAGAGAGTTCAGCGTCCCCACACCCTTCCCCATAGAGATGCATTGATTCGCACAGTGCAGTGTTTTGCTGTGCATGCGCAATATATAAAGAACAATGATCTCATCCTTGGAGGCGAGACAGGCATGGCGTGGGAGAAAGGATGATTTAAAAACCCCTTTCTCATGCGATCGGATGGGGGCAAGTACCTAAACAGACACACATACACATTTTATTACACACCCACAAATTGACATTATCATTTTTATTTATGTCCACTCCATCTCCCTACCTTTGGGAGAACTAGAGTGAATCCTTTTCTTGGGTTCCATTGAGGCTGTTCTCTAATCTTCCTGCAGTTCCTCTTTGCTCCCTGCATGTTGTCTGAAGTGATGCCGGGGCTGGAGTGAGATCATATTCAGGCTCCTGGCATCACTAAACTGTGTGTGAGGGAGCAGATAACTGCTACTTCGCTCGCTTCCTCAGGTGTCTAGCTCCATTGATACCTAGGGCGGCCAGCTCCAATGTTTACTTGGGCAGTCGCCTACCATGCCTTCCCTGGTGGCTACCTTAGCGAAAGGGCTGAGAAATCCAGGGCGCCAGGACAACATTTCTAGTCGTCCTGGTGCCTGGGATTTGTCGAGCCCTGGATTACCTGAATGGAAGGAATTTTGATGTAATTTGGCTGCATTTATTTTACAGGTAAATTGCTTTCGTTTTTGACAGACAAATTGTATTGTCAGTTTGGTTGATATAACCAGAATTTGTCTTTTGTGAATTAATGAATCTTTTAAATTTGTTTGAAATTGTTGAATTTTTACAACCCTCCCTTTTGTTTCAAGTGCTCAAATAATTGTACTTTATAGTTGAATAAACAAGACGTGGTGCGAAGTAACCTATGCACTTTGAGACTTGGATATCCTATTAGAGGAATTGTGACACTACAGATTGCCACTGCTAAAACAGAATAATAAAGCTTGAATACTGAAAGGAATGTATCTGCATTCTCTGCTTTAAAGAGTTTATGGAAGCCCTATTGTCTCTTACATTGTAATTTTCAGTGTGGAAAATGGAATAAGCCCTGACTGGTATTTATTTACTACATTACATTTATATTGCAGTCATTATTTTATTATTCTACTACCCTTAACATAAATCTTGGTGTTTCGTAATTTAGTGCCCTGAAGTGGTTATGGTGGTAGGAGTGCCCTGGTGCACTTCAGTGTAAGTAGTCAAACTTGTTTTAGAACGGTTGGACCTATTACCTGGAGTCTGCCAAAAGCTCAAAGCCATCTGTCTGAGCTAAGCCTAGTGGTGCAGAGCTTGTCTCATTGGCTGAGTGTAATCAGCTGATGCTTTGTCAGTAAGCTAAACATAGAAACATAGAATGTGACGGCAGATAAGAACCATTCAGCCCATCTAGTCTGCCCAAGCTAGCTTCTGTGCAGGTGCTTCCCGCTCTCCTACCCTTTTAGGAAGTTCCAGGATATACCGTGCACCGTCACCACTACAGTGCTCCCCTTGCACCTTTACCACTACAGTGCTCTGATAAATATAGGAATTTATCTATGTATGTATGTATGTATGGGTTTTTTGTTGTTTTTTTTAAGGTTAAAAAAAGACATAGTCACTAAAAAAAATCCTACATTTCTTTGCAGATATATATATATATATATATAACAGTCAGTGGATCCATGCACTCACGCTCAAAATTGTAAACAATATAGTACTTGCCGGGTGCCAGTCTCTTGGGGCAATAGGTAGTAGTAACAAAAAGTGTCCGGACTGCACTCACGGTCTTAAAGTTGAAAATGTTTCTTTATTCCATATAACAAATCGACGTTTCGGTCCACGCAGGGACCTTCATCAGGATCAAATAGCATCATGCTATTTGATCCTGATGAAGGTCCCTGCGTGGACCGAAACGTCGATTTGTTATATGGAATAAAGAAACATTTTCAACTTTAAGACCGTGAGTGCAGTCCGGACACTTTTTGTTACATATATATATATATATATATATATATATATATATATATATATATATATATATATATATATATATATATATATATTAATTCTAGATCTATTTCAGTGTTTTTCAGATGGTTTATAATAGTGTTAAAGAGCAGGCTATGAATGATTATATGGCTGCTGATGCAGTGAATGAATATTTGTAATGGTATAGAAAATGACTGAGCAGGTGTAAAGAAACGGAATTACTTAAAAGGGCACTCTAAGGTTGGATGTGACGTGTGTCTCATCATATAGAAAAATAATGGAGCAATATGCAAAAACCTAAAATGCTTTATAAAGTTCTTAAAGCTACTGCTTTTGCAATGGTAATCCGTAACTGGCAGTCCCCCTGTTCAAATCAGGAAGAGGCTCCTTTCTGTTGATATTTGTATTTTATTTTCTAACTCTTAAACCCATATTCAAAAGGTATGACATATGTAGTTAAGATCAGGCCACAGTTTCACTCATCAGACCTGTTGCGTGGAACAGTTTTCACATAATTCACCACAACCACTAGTTATTTTTGTGTGAACTAGGCAGCCGTATGCCACTGTAAAATTCTCAGGCTGCTCTGACGGAAGGGATAGAACTTTGGTATTGACATGTCAGAATTTAACATTTCTTGCTGAGGAAGTCTCCATCTTGCAGATCCGTGTTCATTTATAAAGCAGATATTATAGTATATATTTTCTGCAACAAAAACAATATAAAAAAATTCCTAAACCAAATGAAAACATTGATTTTACATTCAATAAAAAAAACAAGATTTGAAGTACACAGCATTCAAAACTGTCAGAAGTTAGCCTTGATTTCATGAGTATTCCAAGTGTTAAAGGTGTACACATGTAGTTTAGAAGGTATGCTTTTACATACACTACTCTGGGGTAAAAATCTAGATTTACTTTACTGGGTAGCTGATCTTTGTCATGCAGTTCCGAATTCATTAATAAGCCTCACATTCTGATATGCTGACCGATTCCCCAGTGGGTAATACTGGTAAATGTGGGTTTCCATCATTTATTTTTTATTTATTTTTCTTATACTGGCTGTTATTTTAAAATATTGAGCAGAGTTACAGAAGCAAGGTGGATTTAAAGATGGTGCTCTAACCTAAACTTTGCTATGGTAGCCTTGGTGAAAACGGTACGCTTGCCTCTTGTTAAATCAGTTCCTTTATTGTCCCTGCAGAAGCCAAGCCCAATGTATGTATAATATAAGAGACTGACAGCCATTTGCAACCTTTAAAAGAAAATAATCAATACATACAACCAGAGAGTTTAGCATTTATTTAGTAAAGCGATGAGCTCTGGTTCCTGTAGTTTGTCAAGTCCGCAATGATGTTGTGGATGCAAAAAGACAATTCTCCAGAACATGTCTCAAGTTAAGAATTTTTAAAATAAACTGTTTATTTACTTTAGACTTTGGTGTAAAGTTCTTTCCGTGACCCATGTCATTTTCAATTTCAATAAGGACAGAACAGGACATTGGATTCTGTCTCTTTCTCTGTTGCTGTAATTACACAAGAAACTGCTCTGACACTTCCTTCACAGCCAAATGTCAAGACCAAGCTATACTGCTGCAAGTAATACGGCTAAGGGGATAAATAGATGCATTTGATGATTACAATAAAAGTAGACTAGAAGAAACCTGTACAAATCGCTTACAGGGAATGTAACCTGGCAGGTCAGGGAATCCTAACCTCTTACCGTTTAACCACATTATGAGAATTTTCACTCCTCAAGTATCATTTATTAATTGGGGTTACTACGGTTTATTATACACCTGTTGCATTGGGAATACTGCATTTTGTTTTATTTTATTTATTGGAATAGTGTTATACTTGTGAAGGCGCTTCCAAAAGATCAATTTAATTTACTGTTATAAGATTTTAAATTATGTTAGCTGCTGAAACACTGGATGTGTATACTTTAATACCCCTATGGAGCGATGTGTATGTTTTAATAGTGGAGTACTTGGCAAAAAACAGTCAAGGTATAACTTACTATGAAATTATATTAAAATGTTAAAACTAAAAATAAAAATTTATAAAGTGGTGTATGTGCAAATTCACTAAAGTAGCTTACTTTCCCAATCAAAGTGCAATACAATAAAGTGCACATAAACAAAACACTATGGTGTAAATGGGGTGGAATAATAATATATACTGGTGTGTGTGTGTGTGTGTGTATGTGTATGTATATATATAATTTTTTTATTTTTTTTACCTGCCCTGTGAATGTTTACATGGTGTGTTCAATAAAACATGGCAACATTTCATTCTTTGTGTGTTTCATTAGTTTAAGCAGACTGTGATTGTCTATTGTTGTGACTTAGATGATGATCAGATCACTTTTTATGACCAATTTGTGCAGAAATCCATATCATTCCAAAGGGTTCACATACTTTTTCTTGCAACTGTGTGTGTGTGTGTGTATATATGTGTGTGTGTATATGTGTGTGTGTGTGTGTGTATATATATATATATATATAGATATCTATATCTCTATAGAGATAGCGCTCCCAGGACTCCAAGAGGTATTAAAAGTAAAACTTAACTTTTATTTTCCTCAATTAAGAGATCGACGTTTTAATTTGTAACCCAAACTTTCATCAGGATGAGGGCTACAAACTGAAACATCGATCTCTTAATTGAGGAAAATAAAAGGTTTTTTTTTTGGAGTCCTGGGAGTGCTATCTCTGTTACCTGGCTAGATTGATCAAAGACACCAGTAAGTTGGAATGCAAGACTATTTTTTTTGTGTGTGATAGATATAGAGAGAGATTATATTTATATATACACATTTTTTTTTTTAAATAAATATCTGTATACTCTTATTTCCACAATTGATAAACTGTACCCTAAAAAGGTGTATATAACAAGAATACAGTGTTTCACTGGTACAAATATGTCCAATATGTCTCTGGGTATTGGTTAAAAAACATTGTTTCACACACAGCGGTACTAAATAGTATAGTGATATATTGGGTCTGATTTTGCACCTTCCCTCCCACAGAACTCATCCAATAAGATGGTAGTGTTTGCAAGCAAAGGAAGGGATAAAAAAGGAAACTTACGTGTACTTATCTTGTTGTGCGTTCTAAATAGTATAAATCACTTTTACAGATACATAAATGTTTTTTAGAGTGGCAAGTTGCTAGGTGTATTAATTAAAAATATTTCTTTCTGTCATAAGACTGGATTTCCCTTTATATGTTCTTTTTTTACTCTCAGAATTTTTACCTGCCACGCAGATCACAAATCTGTATAGGTGTCATGTTGTCTTGCAAAGTTAAGAAGTACTTTGGCCATTTCTGTTTTTTACACATTGAAATTTGCCAGATTGGTTTGCTGGGTCTATGTTGTCTTTGAGGCTGTAAGGTAGCCTAGAAATGAAAATAACCCTCATGGCATTCAAAGGCATACCTAGAAGTCCTGGGGCCCCAGTGTGTCTCATCCTCCCCCCAGCACGTCCATGTGTCTGGTTCCCCCATTTTGCCAACCCCCCTCAATGTGTCTTGTTCCCTCATTCTGTCCCTCCCTAACTCCTCCATGTATCTTATTTCCCCATTCTGACATTGGGGCGTGATTACATGTCCTAACGTCGTTAAAGATGTAATGACACGTCCTAACTTCAGCATTCAGTGTCTGGAGTCTGTCATATTTGTGACAGTTTATATCAGTGCTGATTTTATTGGTGTGGTCCTTTAACAAAAGTTTGGAGCTTGCTACATTAATTTGATTCATTTCTGGATCACCAAACCAGAATCTTCTCCATTTGGATCTCCGAAACCTTGCTTTATTTTTCAGTGTAGCTATGTTCTACACTTATCCATCTGTGTGTCAGCACACACTCCTCTCAGCTTCTAAAGTGTTAAGCATTGAACTCATTTTAATGGGAAAATTGTTGCACAACATTTCCCATAAAACTGTAAAATATCTCACTGTTTTGCAATAATGCATTATTGTGCCAAAGGTATTACTAATGTGTTTAAACCATTTGCAATTATTTGTGTAGCGTATCTCAGGAAGTATTGCAGCACCAAGGAGACTGATAAAGGCTGTGGTTCCTGAATCCATTCACAGTACCAAGATTGTGCCAATTTATACACTGAAAAGATACCAAAATAGTATGGAATATAGCAGTACCCATATATTGCCTTGCTCACCAGCCTTTGGACTCTCATTAATCTATACTTTATTTTTATGCATCAAATATCTTCATTGCGGCAGAGATAATAAATGGCCAGGGGAGAAAAAAATATATAAAGGGATATTTATCTAATCGTTATTCATTAAAGGGATGCACTAGCCACCAAAACAACTTTACCATAATGAAGCAGTTTTAGTGTATAGATCAGGCCTGCCCAACCTGCGGCCCCCCAGATGTTGCCGAACTACAACTCCCATGAGTCTTTCAATGAAACAGCCAGGGAAACATGGGAGTTGTAGTTCAGCAACATCTGGGGGGCCACAGGTTGGACAGCCCAGGTATAGATCATGCCTCTGAAGTCTCAAAGCACAATTCTCTGCCATTTAGGAGTTGCATCACTTTTGTTTGTTTTTTCCGCCGTAGCCACATCTCCGTTGGCTGTGACTGACACAGCCTGCATGATATCAAAATGGTTTCATTTTCAATCACGTGTTTACTTACTTTAAAAGATTTAATTTCCTGCTCTGTAAATTAAAATGAGTTTTAATTACATACAAGAGCAAGCTATTAACAGAGCAGGAGTTGAATTCTAAATTAAACAGAATTCACAATAAAGAAAGTTTAAACATTAGATGACTCTTTACAGTAAGTGTTTAGGAAGGCTGTACAAGTCACTTGCAGGGAGATGGTGCTAGGACTGCATAAACAAAGTGATTTTACTCTTAAATGGCAGAGAATTCAGCAGTAAGACTACAGGGACGTGATCTATACACCAAAACTGCTTCATTAAGCTAAAGTTGTTTCGGTGACTTTAATGTCCCTTTAAAGTGAGAATTCAAAGTGAATTTTAAATTTAAGGCTGGAAGCATAGCCGAATTAAAGAATGTTAAAGGGACACTTCAGTGCCAAAATACAAATTTAAAAAGTAGTGTTTAGTAAATATACCCAAAATGAAAACTTTCATGCATTTATTATGCATTTTTTCATAGGTGGTATAGCTAAAAACAGCTACAAAACCTGCAGTTTTCTTGTCTGCTGTCATTACAAACCCTCCCCTTCTAACCCTGGCCAGACTTTTTGGCTGTCCAGTCTAGACTTCCCAGTGCAGCTCAATTAGAAGTCTTTGAAAGGCAGGTGCTCTTAGATATTGCTGGTCTCTTGAATTTAGCTCCACTGGTCTAACAAAACCAGGAAGCAATAGGACCGCTGTCTGATTGGAAGTCAAAGGGGTGTAACCACGGTAATTTATATAAATGTCTTTTAAAATCTGCCCTTTTTGCAAAATGAAAAAGGAAACACTCTTCTGCTTTTAGGGGCCTAGAGTGTCCATTTAACAGTAGAATAAAGGGATTACATTGCAAAACATAATAATCACTGGTAAATACAGAAAGCTTTTAAAAAGTGTTTAAGATTGTAATAGGATTAACAAAAGTGTCATTTATAATTGAATCACAAGATAACAAACACTGAGTGTTTTCTTTCTTGTTTTTCCAGCAATTAGATGTGTGTGCTCAACCTGCGTCAAGACAAACTACACCTGTGAGACGGATGGGGCCTGCATGGTCGCTACCACTAATCTTCATGGAAAAATACATGACGATAGAAGATGCATTTCATCATCAGACCTTGTACCTGCAGGAAAACCCTTCTATTGTCTTAGTTCTGAAGATATACGAAACACCCACTGCTGTCACACAGATTTCTGCAACAAAATTGAAATTGTGGTGCCAAATGGTATGTACTAAGTGTGGATTTGCATGTTGCCCCAAAAAGTCTTATTAAAATATTTCAACTTATGTTTGCAGCATAAATATATGAAAAACATCTTACAATACACTTATTCGTTATATGAAGCTGGAAGCAACAATGAATGTTTAAATTTCTTGCGTACCTCACAAATCTACTGGAGTTGTTGCGATTAGGAGTTAACATGTGCCTAAATTTAAAGGGACACTATAGTCACCAGAGCAATTACAGGTCAGTGTGGTTGTTCTGGTAAGTATAGTCGGTCTCTGCCTGCATTTTTCTTTAAAGGACCACTCTAGGCACCCAGACCACTTCAGCTTAATGAAGTGGTCTGGGTGCCAGGTCCCTCTAGGATTAACCCTTTTTTTTTTTTATAAACATAGCAGTTTCAGAGAAACTGCTATGTTTAGAACAGGGTTAATCCAGCCTCCAAATCCTCTAGTGGCTGTCTCATTGACAGCCGCTAGAGGTGCGTGCGCATTCAGCCGAAAGGGAGGAGAGGAGGAGGATCGGAGGCGGAGAGCTCCCCGCCCGGCGCTGGAAAAAGGTAAGTTTTAACCATTTCCTCTCCCCAGAGCCGGGGGGGAGGGGGACCCTGAGGGTGGGGGCACCATCAGGGCACTATAGTGCCAGGAAAACAAGTATGTTTTCCTGGCACTATAGTGGTCCTTTAAACACTACCTTTTCAGAGAAAAGGCAGTGTTTACATTGCTGCCTAGGGACATCTTCAGGTACAGTCACTCAGACGGCCACTAGAGGCGCTTCCTAGGTCAGTGCTGCAGCACTGACGTTTCCCCATAGACATGTTAATTCAATGCATGTCTATGAGGAGATGCTGATTGGCCAGTGGGGCATTTGGCTTTGCCTCACCTCATTGACTGAGATAATAAGAATTGACCATTTCAGCCAATCCAATGCTGATCTTCTGATATGTGGCTCTTGAGAAAAAGAGGGTAGCTGGTAAATGTGTGACTGACCTTTTAACCCCTTAAGGACACATGACATGTGTGACATGTCATGATTCCCTTTTATTCCAGAAGTTTGGTCCTTAAGGGGTTAAATTCTTTATACATTTGTCAGCAGGAATGTCTCATTTTCCTTAGACATAAACATTCCACAACTTTAAACTATAGGCCCTGCCTTTACTAAAATAATTGACATTAACTGAACAAAACAAAAAACAAACAGTAGACTGTAAAAGAAACAAATTCAAAGAAATTGATGTTTTGACCAAACCTTCCTTCATTTTGTTTTTTTATGTAATATAACAAGCTATTAAAAAGGTGTGGCAGGAGTACTCCAATATGAAACACAATATTGTGCTGTAAATGGGTCAGCACATCAACAAAACATAATTGCATCCTAGAATAATGAAGCTGCAACACCCAGGAAAAAAGTTTAAAGAAAATTAAAGTTTATTACAGGTTGTCTGATATTTAATCTTTTAATATGTGGACCTTCAGCAGTGCAAATATACAGTATTTTATTTACCCGTCCACATTTTTTTTTTTTTTTCATTATAGAAAATATTTTAGACACTGCTGTTTGCAAGACACACACACATTTATTTTAAACAAAGTTTTTCTCCATGCAAGATGAGTGAAGCACTGTAAGCTGTAAAGATATACCTTGGCCTAATCATGCCATTCAAACTCTTACTTTATTTTATAATTTTATCAGCGTGTGCCTGTGAAGTTGCCTGTTCCGATCACACTGTTAATGCAGGACCTGGTTATTTGTGTTGCTGCACAGAAAACACGTCTGATTAACACATGGCAGCTAAAATAAAGTGCAACAGGCAGACACTTTCACAAACACACAAATTCATCTACACTGCACTACCTTTAACTCTCCTAGGAACATGATTTACAAGTATTAATAACAAAATATGTGGCCTGAAGCCTGATTTATGTGAATTACTGAGAATACAGAACAGCTTATTATCGAAACCATTTATTTTGGTTAAAAATAAAGTAAATTTGTAATAGACATTGACCTCAATATAATATTGTCAAAATGGGGGAAAAAAATAACCAATACCATAGTAAGTCTACCTTCACCTGTAGGCAGTTTCCTTTCACATAGTGATGATACCCTTCAATCAGGAGTATGACATTCTGGTTGTAATCAGAATCCGCTACTGGACGGAAGATTATGGAATAGCAGTCCAAATTCCAAATTGAGAAAACAAGATCTATGGGGGGTAACCCCTAATTTATATGAAACAACCAACAAACTAGTGATTTATTGGCGTAGTTAAGGATGTCCACTAAGGACATGAAGAGTGCAACTAAATCCTGAACAGAAATTCTAAAACTTAACTTTTAATATATTAACTAAATTAAGGAGTATGTGCCACCAATAAAATCGAATGTCATCACGAAGTGCTACAAACATAGAAGACAAGCACTTATTGGGGGATGGATGAAGAAATCCTTCGTACAACAATATAATGTGAATGTGTGTATATATGAGGATTAATATATAGGGGGCACTGTAATTGTACAGTTTGACAATCGGGTCAAACAGTGCCTTCTAGTGGTAAATAAGACATGGGTAGGTCTAGTACCCTGTGGTGAATTACAAAAAAGTAAATCGCTAAAAACAAACATATAGGGTCTAAAGTGGGCCAACAACTAAACCAGGCATAGGCAACCTTCGGCACTGCAGATGTTTTGGACTACACCTCCCATGATGCGTTGCCAGCATTATGGGGGATGTAGTCCACAACATAAGTAGTGCCAAAGGTTGCTTATCCCTGAACTAAACTGTGCTATGGACTGTTTGAGAGGGGTAATCTCAATTAAAGTAGCTCCCATTGGGCTGAACTAATAACGTAATATAGGAAGCCCAAACATAATGCATAGTGAATGAGGCGATCCACTCATATAAAATTAGTCTAATAGCCAAGTAGGGGGAACCTAGTTGATGAGTTTCTGCAATTTGCATAGATATTGTTGCTAAATGTACAGAAATGCTGATACAGGATTGATACAATGTTTCAGTGGAGGGAAAGGTAGGGTAAAATGGTAAGAAAAGAAGCTGTTGAAACTATGGTGCACCATCTACTAGCTAAAGGTCCCACTGTGCCTTCGAGGGCAACCCTTACCCCAAAATCCTAATAACCCTGAGTCCCGCAACCCAATCTGCATATCTGTTAACCACTTGATTGGAACTACTCGTTAAAGGGATGGCAGAAATACTGCAGCTCCTGTCACTTTAGTCTGACCCCAGTTCACTGTTTGTTAAAGTGAGATGTTTTTTGTTTGGTATTGTATCTTTTGATAGTGGCTTAATCATGCAGTGTCCATAAGCGGTCTCTGGGGAGGGGTGACCGTTATCCCTACTGTCTGTGGACACAACAACAAACAAATAAGTGATAACGTGGTGCAGTACAATTTAAAAGTGCAAGTATCACTTTAAAATATATAAGAAATATCTGTAAAATGATTAATATTGTGCCACAACCATTTAATACACAGGCAGCAAGTCCACAACAAAATAAAAAAAATGGTGTGCAGGGGGGGCGGAGCTTAGCCACGGAACTGAGCGGTCGCATGTTCAGCGAGCTCCGGCAACATCGAGACTAAATTAACATCAAAAACTGCTATTACAGCCCTCACAGACATAACAATTGACGGCCAAGGCAGGGGGGCAAGGCTCTCACCTGACCGATGCCCTTTGTATACCGCCAGACGGGACGGAAAACACGCCGCACAACCAAGGCCTACTCAGACTACAGGGCCCTCGAAACGGCGCTCCACAACGCAGTCTTCTCTACTGCCTTACCGCCCACGGAGCACACAGCCACAAACCCGGCAAATATGGGACGAAAATCCCAGCGGATAGCAACAGGTGCGTGCAAAGATACACAGGACATTAGCACTATGCTTCAGCGCACCGCGGTCCTGAAAATGGCGGCCACGACCGACATAGACACAAGCTCCACATGCTCGGAGCTCATCTTGGGGGACACACTAGAACATCCGCCATCCCAAGGTGCACAAGCTGACCCTGATGCACTGACACCAGCCACAAAATTAGACATTAAAAACCTCCTAAAGGAGCTAAAACAAATGTCTGCGGCAGACATGGCTTTAATGAAAACGGAGGTCCAAGTGGTCACAGACCAAGTGAAGACCACAGAAGAGGACATCATAGAGGGCCAAAATGAAGTGAGGGGTCTAAAAGAAACAGTGTCCCATTTAAAAGCCTCACAAGCAAACTTGATCAACAAGCTGGATGCAGTAGAAGAGAGAAGCCGCAAAATCAATGTCAAAATTAGGGGTATCCCCGAAGAAATAAGTCAGGCAGAGCTGCCACACTACATCAGACGCCTGGTCGCCACCATATTACCCCATGCACATGCCAAAAAATTTATTATTGCAGGGCTATTCCGCATCCGTAAATCACCACAGGCACCCCCCCACGCAACCAAGGATGTAATCGTCCGGTGCCATACCCAAACAGACAGAAATGCCATCTTCGCTGCCTTAAAAGGCAAAACGCCACTGGACTTTGAATCCACGAGTCTTACCTTTTATAAGGACCTGACCAGATCCACACTCCAATGGTGAAGAACCCTGCGCCCCATGACCCAACGCCTTCAAGACGCCAAAGTGACGTACCGCTGGACAGCACCCAAAACACTCTCGGTGGACCACAACGGCACCACTCTACACCTCAATTCCACTCAAGAGGTGGACTCTTTCCTCAGGGCACTGGGGCTCCCACTAGGAACTGACCACACAGAAGAGCCAGCCAGCTCCCATACATGGGACCCCACCAGGACTGTCCCATTTGTTCCAAGGGGGAGAGGAGCCTCTGAGGCAGCCACCTGACACCATTGACTTCCTTCCAGCCCACAGGCACATCCCACCGATGATGCCATTATTGTTCTAATTTTGTTTTATTTAGGTTTTAAACAATTTTTAACGATGTTCTGTTTTTCGATTAGGCGCCACGGAGTATCCCCCCCCGGTCTCTGACCACATGACTCCACACGAGTATCAAAGAAACATATAGGGCAACCCAAGGACAGGGCTTCTTACGCCCACACCAAACGCGCCAGAACCTGGGGCCCTAGACAAAGTCTCACTGACCAGAAGTGGGACATATTTCCCCATCGCCATAGCTAACACTAAAAACCACTTACACGGAATGAGGAATAGTTGTTCAGAACCCTAGTCACACGCGGGATGTACAGAGTATAGTAAACATATACAACTTCCTCCACCAGGCAAGTGATTATGGCGATCTAGCGGTAACCCTAGATAGAAAGTGGTAACGTAAGAACCTAATTTGAAAAAACTGTGCAAAGTATTTCAATGCCAAATGTATATGTATGTTTCATGTTTTGAAGCCTGAGACAGCTGCCGCGGCATCTCAAGCGACTATGTTTAAGCAAATGCGCAACAAAAAAAAAAAAAAAAAATGGTGTGCAAAAACAATAATTTCAATAAAAATATCAATAAGAGTATCAAAGAAAAGTCATATTCCCTCCTACGTATGCAACAGTGTATCAACAATATGTATCATGCATGTAGATGTTATTTTAACAAATATGTGAGAACAATCTGTGTAAAAGTGAATCACTAACAAAGTGCAATAAATAATCCTTTACAATTTAAATAACCACAAATTCTCTGTGCAACGTGTAAAAAATTTTTGCTTAGTATCACAAACAAAAGTCCTAAGAACCATGCACTTTGTAATGATGCAAAGGACTTACAGTAATTTGACTGATCCTTTAAATAAATCTTTTCTGAAGAGTTAAATTAAATTTGTTGTATTGCTTTCACTTTAGAAAATGTATTTTCCATTCCTTTTTTTTATTAGGATTCACGAAGAACCCTTCCCCAGGCTGGGGCCCCGTGGAGCTTGTCGCTGTGATTGCAGTCCCTGTGTTTCTCCTTTGTGTTGTTCTGATTGTGGTGGTCTTGTTCCATTGTCACCAGCGGGTCTATCATAATCGCCAGAGACTTGATTTGGAGGATCCATCATGTGAGATGTACCTGGCGAAAGATAAAACTCTCCCAGACTTGGTCTACGATCTGTCCACATCTGGTTCTGGCTCAGGTAAACAATTTAATGGTGGTTTAATTTTTTTTTTTTTTTCATCATCACCTGCTGCTTCTAAGTTTACTATTTACTTGATTGGCCTGAGAATACAATACAGCATTTTCTATTATCTATCTATTTTCTAAAGAATTTACTGGCCATTTTGGAACAAGGAACAAGAATTTTTGTTGTGCAGTGGTAACCAAGGTGTCTTGGCTCTTTTGCCGTATTTTTATTCAAACTTAATTTAATACTCTGTATAAGCGCACCAATATATATTTTATATTTACAGATTATGCAAGGATGAAATTAAGTTCTTAAAGATTTAAAAAATTCAGTATGCTACTCGTCCTTATATTGAACATTTGTATTTTTGAGATGTGAAAAATAAAATTACACGTAGAAGTCAATTCTGCAACTTAGTGCCTCCATCTAAATAATGTTTATATTTCTCATCTTCATTTGTTGCGTTGCTTTGTCTGAACTGGATTATATGACTTTTTCGAAATATTTAATATGGATTTCAAAGAAAATGGAGCGTGTCATGTAAAATAAAAGGTTAACACATGGTGTAGGTGATTTTCAATGTTTTATAAGGGGGTGTAAATTAAAGAGTAGTGATCATTTAACAATTTTTTTTATCATATTTATAATTTATGTAGTTTACAAACACGGCAAAGAAAATACTACGCATGTAATGTACATTAATTTGGTTGATATCCGAGATCCATAATCCACGGATTCATAAATGTGTATTCACAGTGTATCGTCATCTCCGCTTGTACTATTAAAATATATTTTTAAAAATTCAATTAGAAGAAAGCTAACACCAGGAAGCACCGGTCACATGATCCGGTTGGTAAGGAAGAAGAAGAGGGAAAGAAAAAAAACTTTTTCTTCCCTCTCATATAGTGGCAGTACTGTACAAGTAGCATGTAACTCCAGCTGTGGACAAGAAGCTCCCCCGGAACCGGGTCGGACAAGGCTCCTCCAAGCTCTACAAGACCAGGCAAAGATTGGTGTGGTCAGCACAGGCTGTTGACCGGCAGGTGGGAGCTGAGCAGCAGAGACTTCCGTTCCAATGCGTTCTGGAACGCGACTGGAAGCTGGCTTATGTGGCCACATCCTGAGTGGTCCAAGGCGGACATCCCACCTTACAGTACTTACGTACAACAGGATGGCATTGCATTCCACTGAACATCCGATCACGCTACTGCGCATGCGCAAAACAGAAGTGTCTTAATTTGTTGCTAAATTCAAAAAGTTTTTAGCTATAAATGCTGTGCAGGACTTGTCTGTCCCTAAGGGTGGGTGCCAGTACTGGATCTCTGTGTCACCAGCCCTTCTACATGATGGTGAGGTTTTTGAGGTGAGAATTTAATTTAAATCTCCCTTGAAAACTTACACTTGTTTGCATACCTTCTAATTCCAGTATTCTTCTTGCATCTACAGAATATGTCCAGTCTATAATTCACCAGATAAAGCTGAAAAAAATAAGATGTCAGCTCTTATCCCTAAAAAGTCCACGAGCAAATCAAAGCACTTGTGTTGTTTAGAATGTGCGGCCCCTCTGCCTGGCGGATGTCGTTAGAAAACCTGTAATCCATGCTCGATGGAATTGCTGGAAAGATCCAAGCAAAAAGAAATGTCCTCATTCCTGTGCTGGTTTCATGATTTATCACAGACCTTCGAGTTATTTAAAGATACCCTTAAAAAAGACAGTGGGTATGTGACTATTCAGGACAAACAGACAAAAAACAAAAAAAAGAGAGAAAGATCCCCATCCCTGTCTGAGCTCGCATCAGGTGGATGTTCATCTTCTTCCCTTTCTGAGGTTTCCAGTCTGGCTTTAAGTGTGGATGAAGGATTTCCACCAGAAGAGAAAAAAAAAAAAAAAAAAAGAGTTTCTCAGGGAAGTATCGACAGTTCTTCAGGAAACTGAACCTACCAGGGGTAAGGTTAAAGGTTTTCCTATGCACCCAAGGGTTATAGAACTCCTACAGAGAGAGTGGAGGTACTTTTATTTCTAAGCACTTCAAAATACTATTTAAGCTACAGACTGAGGAAAAATGGGAAGACCTTCCAAAAGTAGATATCCAAGTGGCGCAATTATCAAAGAAAGCCACAATCCCTATTGGTGAGGTTTCTGGTTTAAAAGATCCCATGGACAAGTGGGCCGAAACTTCTAGCAGAGGAGTATTTCATGCTGCAGGTTACCAATGCAAAGCTGGAATCTCCTGATTCAGCAGTGCCTAAAGGATCACTATAGGGTCAGGAACACAAACTTGTATTCCTGACCCTATAGCGCTAAACCCACCACTTCCCCCCCATTTACCCCCTTACAAAAGTTTCAAACTCACCTTATTTCCAGCGCAGCATGGGCCCACCAGCGCTGGCTCCGCCCCCTTTGTGACATCACCAAAAGAGCAGATTTTTAGCCAATTTAATGCTTTCCCATGGGGAAAGGATTGGATTGGCTAAAATCGGCACGGGGCGGGGACAAATGCCGTTTTGGCCAATCATACTGACTTATGAAACCCGTGGTGTTCCTGTCAGATTTCCATTGAAGGCGAGGGCAATGGCAACTTCCTGGGCAGAAAGATCTGCAGCTTCTCCAGAAGACATCTGTAAGGCGGCTACTTGGTCTTCATTCCACACCTTTTATAGAGCATTATAGGCTGGACATATTTTCATCCTCTGAAGCTGCTTTTGGGCGGAAGGTGCTCCAGGCAGTGACCTTCTAATTTTCCACTTTTTTTTTTTTTTTTGCAGGGATCTTGCTATTTCCCACTTGTACAGTACTGCCACTATATGAGAGGAAAACAGTAATTTTACTTACTGTAAATTCCTTTTTCCTTAGTATAGTGGCAGTACTTTTTGTATGGATTAAATTAATTATGCAGTCTATGGTCTCCATTTGGTTCTTTTTATAACTGGTCTTTCCTTGGAGGTACAGGGTTGATATGGGCAGCAGGCCCTCTCTTAAAATATAAGGTCTATCTTAAAATATTCAAACTCGAGGGGGAGCTTCTTGTCCACAGCAGGAGTTACATCCCACTTGTACAGTACTGCCACTATACTAAGGGAAAAGGCATTTACGGTAAGTAAAATTACTGGGTGTTTTTTGGGTTGGTTGTGTTTTTTTTTTTTTTTTTGTGGAAGGTAGGGGATATAAGGGACACAAGGTGGTATTGAGGGGAAAGGAGGAGGGAGGATGGTGCTGTCTCCTGGGCCTCTGGCACATTATTTGAATGATGCTATAGTATAAGCAATTGTCAATCAATGCCAGACTTGTGTGGCTGGTGTCACTATTAAACAAAATCTGTTTTTAAACTGATCAGCCGTATGTTTTAAGTGGCAGGTGGGCTTACATCAAATGGCCATTGGAGTGGAACTAAAAACCTCCATTTATATAAATATGCCCTGAGATTTGGAATAGTGAGCAAGTAACTTTTTTTCTTTGGTTTTATTGTATGTTTTAAGTACCGGTAAGTATCCATACTTCCACAGTGTGCAGAATGGGTAAAAAAAAAAAAAACAACAAAAAACAGCAACAGCTAGACCTTTTCTGTTTGCTTTAGAATGCCCCATTGAGAGGGGGTAAGTCTGGTTGGGAATCAGGAGAGTCCTGCTGTGTTGTCATCACAGAGGATATGTAGGATTTCCATCCAGCTCATCAAGAGGTGTGCTTTTATTTGTCCTTGGGATATGGTGATCAGCTGTTCCATTGAGTGTACATGTTCTATCATGGCGAACCATTCTTTCACAGTGGGCAATGCATTAATTTTCCAATGGCAGGGTAACTGGGAGACGGTGGCTTTAAGTAAACAAATGGTTAGAGAGTTTTTGTAAAAACCAAGAGTTTGTTCCTTATGATGTAATAGTAACACTTCTGGCTTAAAATTGGGGATCGTCAACTACAGACACTATAACTGAGTGTATTTCTTACCAATAAGGAGTTATCAAGGGGCATTGTCACCAAATGTGCAGATATATCCCCTTGTGCTGCTGGCATCTCTAGCCTTTAAGGCATTCTATTGGTACATAAGTCCCTATGGATATTGGAGTCCTATACATGCGGGTTAATACTTTGTATGCTGTCTTCTCAATGCAGGAGGAGATTGAGTAGACTTGTAGGATGTACATAATGTTTGTTGCCATTGTTTATCATGGAATTGGAAGTTCAATTCTTACTCCCATGTGTCTCGATAGGTCAGTGAGTTACGTGATACACATGACAAAAGCAAAGAGTAGATAGGTTTCTGTGCTTGGCAAAGGTTCTCAAATGGAGTCAGTGGGCTATCAGGTTGTACATCTTTAAGGGAATCGCATACATCTTTATGGAATCTGAGTAAAAAAGGGTATTGTGTTATCACCAGCTGCCATAGTTAATTTGTTCTTTGTTTTTCTTCATGGGAAGTTCACATACCTCATGTCTCACTACTTTAAGGACCCATGTGTGTTCCTTTTATAGGGTCAAATACGGTATGCCATCATTTTGACATGCCTCTTTGCTTACTTGCTAGTTTTTACCTGAACGCTACCCCTAGACCTAATGTAGAATTATAACCCTTCCCAGTTTGATGGGCTGCAACAATTGCTTCTCTAAGATTATTGCTTATGTCTTTCCTCCTTGGCATTGTGTTAATGCACATCTGAATGCTCTAGACCAGATATCTGCTAAAACTCCAGCTTTTGTAGAGGTGGTCACACTTGCTGATGATCAACTAATCAAGGGCCTATGATTACCAATATCTGTCTGCTGCTTAAGACATATGGAAGCAGTAAGCAAGTACTTAAATTTAAACACATGGCTCTCCGTTTTGGCTTTTTTTGTTACACAAATCATGACACGGTGTAATGTCATGTGTTGTTGTTCATCTGAGATTGTATTTACCAAATGTTAAGACCTGCTAAGGAACAGATGACTGTTATGTCCTGATATGTAAAACCATTGAATTCAAAGAGGGTGTATTTCCTTTTTCCTCGTGTGTGTGTATGTATGTATGTATGTATATATATAATGTGTGTGTGTGTATATATATATATATATATATATATATATATATATATATGTATATGTGTGTGTGTATATATATATATACATATATATTATATTAATAATACAGCAAACACATTACATACAGGCAGAGCACACACGCTGCATATCGGCAGTGCACACTATATAAAAATATTTTTATTATTCCTATTTCTGCAAGATCCCTAACATGCATTTAAAATTCTATTGTCTTAATATAAATTTTTAGGTATGTGAGTTTTGATGAGTTACTTTTCATCCATTGCTGCGCTGGTCTCTGTCCAGTCTCCAAGATTGATGACCATTGTTTCCTCATTGGGAGGCTAGTGAGCATGCGCAGCCCCAAACAAGTACTCTCTAGTAAAATCTTGATTTATAGCATGGTAGAACTCTGTAGCTTCAGAAGCTTCCCTAGTGCCTGCCGGAAAGCGCCACTATATATGTGTTAACCCTGCAATTTAAACATTGCAGTTCCTACAAATTCTACATTTTCAAAAATGCAGGGTTAGAACTACTGGATATCTATTAGTGACCTATCAAAGAAGCAAAGTACTTAAATAAAAAGGTTTATCGATATCTTGCAGTGGTAAATAATTTCTCTTATTTTTCCTTTTTCAGGTCTTCCACTTTTCGTGCAAAGAACAGTGGCAAGAACAATTGTCCTGCAGGAAATCATTGGGAAAGGACGTTTTGGGGAAGTATGGCGTGGCAAGTGGCGTGGAGGAGATGTAGCAGTTAAAATATTTTCTTCCAGGGAAGAACGGTCATGGTTCAGAGAAGCCGAAATCTACCAGACGGTGATGCTGCGGCATGAGAACATACTTGGATTTATTGCTGCAGATAACAAAGGTGTGTGTTTTTTTACTACTTATCAGGAATTCTAAATTTGAAAAAAATAGTTGATGCTTTTTGTAGACCCACATAACATGTGTTTGCCTTGAATTTGTTGGTTCATGTTAGCAGAGCAATCCCACTATTCTTAGTTTCTCTTTTGGTGTATTGCTTAACAATACTGGATAATTTACTTATATTATTTGTTTCAAACTGACTTTAGGTACAGTCTCATCCGAGTTTCTTTGTCACTTGTCTCTGAGTCCCATTTGAACACATAGGACTTAACACTGGATAGTACTTAATGAACTTAAACTACAGAGTTTTTGAATTTGTTAAAATTTGTTTTGTGTATGTAAAAGTGCATATCCTCCATCAAAACAATGTAATAAAGGAACAATTACTTAAAGAGCGTGTATAAAGCCTTTAGTGATGAAAATGTTTGAGAAACTAGCCTTATAGATGTTTAGTTTATTTGTTTGTTTTTTTTCCGTCTTGTTTTTGGCAGACAATGGAACCTGGACACAGCTGTGGCTTGTTTCAGACTATCACGAACATGGGTCGCTGTTTGATTATCTAAATCGATATACGGTTACTATTGAAGGGATGATTAAACTTTCTCTATCCGCTGCCAGTGGGCTTGCTCACCTGCACATGGAGATTGTTGGAACTCAGGGTAAGGCCTAGACATAAGATCTATCTAGATACTAGGTAGTGTTTGTGTATAGATATGGACAGAGGGACGGCGATTCAAAATAAAAAGATATAAATTTATGCCCTACGTATTTGCTGGTATAGAGTGTGTATATGTAATACTAATCTCTCTTTAATGTCTTCTGTTTTGGTTCTTGACTTTTGAGTGTGTGTGTGTGTGTGTGCACTGTATGGACAAGTATTGGGACACCTGACCATTACACCAACAAGGACTTGTATGACATTGCCTTCTAAATACATAGTTATTAATATATAGTTGGTCCCTCTTTTGCAGCAACAACAGCTTCCACTCTTCTGCGAAGGCTTTCCAAAAGTTTTTGAAGTGGGAACTTTTGCCCATTATTCCAGTAGAGCATTTGTTCAGTCAGGCACTGATGTTGAGGCCTGGCTCAGAATCTCAGTTCCAGTTCTTCCTAAAGGTGTTTAGTGAGGTTGAGGTCATGGCTTTGTGCAAACCAGTCAAGTTCTTCCTCACCAAACACATCCAACCATGTCCTCATGGACCTTGCTTTGTGCACTGGGACACAGTCATGCTGGAATAGAAAAGGGCCTTTCCCCAAACAGTTTCCACAAAGTTGAAGCATTGCGATATCCAAAATGTCTTGGTATGCTGAAGCATTAAGACTTTCCTTCACTGGAAGTGTGAAGCCTAGCCCATTCCATAAAAATAAGCTCCATACCATTATCCCTCGTCCACCAAACTTTACAGTTGGCACTTGCAGTCAGGCAGGTAACGTTCTCCTGGCATCCTCCAAACCTAGGCTCACCCATCAGACTGCAAACCTGAACATTGTGATTAATCACTACAGAACACCTTTCCACTGCTCCCGGTTCCAGTGGCGGTGTGGTTTACACCACTCAATCTGAAGTTTGGCATTGTAATTGTACTTGGTGATGTGAGGCTTGCATGTAGCTGCTTGACTATGAAAACCCATTACATTAAGCTCCCTCCACACAGATTTTGTGCGAATGCCAGTAGCAGTTTGGAACTCTATTTATAAAACTTTCCCCCCAAAAATATAGCTTTATGTAACTTTTTCCCCTCTTCTTGTATATACTTTTATTTACTTTTATGGTGCATTTTTTTCTTACAGGAAAGCCTGGTATAGCTCACAGGGACCTAAAGTCCAAAAATATTCTGGTCAAAAAGAATGGCATGTGTGCAATTGCAGACTTGGGCCTTGCGGTTCGTCACGATTCCCTCACCGATACTATAGACATTGCTCCAAACCAGAGAGTTGGGACCAAAAGGTTGGTTAAAATATGTCTGCCATTTTCGCCTATTTAATATTGAGAAAATCTGTCTATGGTTGACCTTCTCTTCTGCAAAAGTACATATTGTCACCAAGCTTTATTTCTCCTCTGTACAGTGCCTGATATACTGTAACTTTTTATTTTACTTGGCCTTCCATACCACTCCTTAGTAATGCTTTATCAAATCTAAAGTGCTGCCGCCCATATACTCCTAAATATGCTCAACCCCTTCTTTAAATCACCAAGTATCTTACTCTTGTACAAATCTCTCTAAAAACTTGTTCCTCACTTATTTCTAGCTACACTAATGGTCTGCTCCCTCAACTCCATCTCTATTATCCAGCCAGATGTCTTGCTTTTTACAAACTTTGTTTTCTTTCTATACCAATCCTTTCCTTCTGCATACTTATTGTTTTCTATTTTCTACATATTCACTTTAAAGTCCATTGTAAAGAATTACTTTTTATTTTCCATTTTCAAGATACTTACTGTATAATTGTAAAGCAGCATTCTTTGTAGTGGTATTATGCAAACATTTCTGTTAGTTTTACAAGTGTATTTCCCTCCCACAATATCACCTTAATGCAGGTTTTCCCTATAGGTTTTTTATTATTTATTTATTTTTTGCTTTGTACCATGAAGGAGGTTAAAGCCCAAGTTCTCGGTTCTCTTTTCTGTTTGTATCATTGTGTCTTATTATATATCCCCCTGTCTGTATAGTGACTAATGTTCTTTTTGCATAAATTGTAAAGTTCTCTGGAATAGTAAAAGACACATAATAGTGCAATATTGTCTGAATCTCCTATAGATATAGAGAAATATGTGGAAATAAACTCACAAAGCGAGAGCCTATAAAGTAAGGCTCAATCTTCCAGCATTGTGGGATTTAGGTTCCCACTCCCTTCTTTATACTGCCAGGAGGTGATGAATAATGGGATGTCCACTCACAGGTAAGTATAAATGATGAAAAAGTGCTTTATTGATAAAGTGCACAAATGAAATATAAAAACAAAAACCTTACAGTTGAAGGTAATCTTGAAGAGAGAGTCTCTGGTAGCAAAACGCGTTTCGCCTCATATAGAGGCTTCCTCAGTTGCTGTGGGTGCTTGCTGTGAGTGTTCTTTGTTTATAGTTGAAATTCGCGCCATTTTTTTCCTTAATTGTCTGATCGCGGCATTTTACTTGCGCGTTCCAACAGTGGAACGCATTGATTCACTGATTTCCGGTTTCGGCATTTGCGTTCCAACGGTGAAACGCATGTGTTTCAATTCCGGTTTTCGTGTGTAAGGACATGTCTCTGTGTTCTATGATGAGTAGTTCTTTGATAAAAGTTCGTTTTTGCATTCAAAATGATTGTTATATATAATAGAATTCTCACAGGACAAAAATGAGAAGGAAAATAAATATAAGTAAAGCAGATACATTTTACCAATATGAATGAATATAGTGAAGAGAAGTAATCCTATTGCAAACAAGAAGTGTGAAGTATAAAATGGATATAGTGAAGAGGGGTAATCCTATATAAGCAAAGGAATTTTTTTAAAAGGGTATTTTATATATAAAATCTTTATAAATCTTATATGCTGATAAAAAGGGAAACTAAGAATAGTAAAATATAAATAGAAATTATAAATACTGATAAAAAAGAAGAAATAAAATAGAATAAAATAAAAACTGCCCCTAAAATTAACTAAAGGAATCCTATATGTAAAAAACATATTTAAAACATATTTAAAGGTGTCAAACCTCAAAATGTGAATTTAGACCATAAGGAATAAGTGTTTTAAAAGTGTATATAAATTTCATTTCTTCTTTCCCTAATGTTTTTATGTAATTACCCCCTCTCCAATCCCATTTCACTTCCTTAATTGCACAGAAAAATAAATTCTCTGGGTTTTGGTTATGGGTATCTTTAAAATGTTGTGATACACTATGGGTTTCCAAGCCGTTTTTAATATTGCGAATATGCTCAGCAATTCTCACTTTCAGACCTTTAAAAGTGAGAATTGCTGAGCATATTCGCAATATTAAAAATGGCTTGGAAACCCATAGTGTATCACAACATTTTAAAGATACCCATAACCAAAACCCAGAGAATTTATTTTTCTGTGCAATTAAGGAAGTGAAACGGGATTGGAGAAGGGGTAATTACATAAAAACATTAGGGAAAGAAGAAATGAAATTTATATACACTTATTCCTTATGGTCTAAATTCACATTTTGAGGTTTGACACCTTTAAATATGTTTTAAATATGTTTTTTACATATAGGATTCCTTTAGTTAATTTTAGGGGCAGTTTTTATTTTTATTTTATTTTATTTCTTCTTTTTTATCAGTATTTATAATTTCTATTTATATTTTACTATTCTTAGTTTCCCTTTTTATCAGCATATAAGATTTATAAAGATTTTATATATAAAATACCCTTTTAAAAAAATTCCTTTGCTTATATAGGATTACCCCTCTTCACTATATCCATTTTATACTTCACACTTCTTGTTTGCAATAGGATTACTTCTCTTCACTATATTCATTCATATTGGTAAAATGTATCTGCTTTACTTATATTTATTTTCCTTCTCATTTTTGTCCTGTGAGAATTCTATTATATATAACAATCATTTTGAATGCAAAAACGAACTTTTATCAAGGAACTACTCATTATAGAACACAGAGACATGTCCTTACACACGAAAACCGGAATTGAAACACATGCGTTCCACCGTTGGAACGCAAATGCCGAAACCGGAAATCAGTGAATCAATGCGTTCCACTGTTGGAACGCGGAAGTAAAATGCCGCGATCAGACAATTAAGGAAAAAAATGGCGCGAATTTCAACTATAAACAAAGAACACTCACAGCAAGCACCCACAGCAACTGAGGAAGCCTCTATATGAGGCGAAACGCGTTTTGCTACCAGAGACTCTCTCCAAGATTACCTTCAACTGTAAGGTTTTTGTTTTTATATTTCATTTGTGCACTTTATCAATAAAGCACTTTTTCAGCATTTATACTTACCTGTGAGAGGACATCCCATTATTCATCACCTCCTGGCAGTATAAAGAAGGGAGTGGGAACCTAAATCCCACAATGCTGGAAGATTGAGCCTTACTTTATAGGCTCTCGCTTTGTGAGTTTATTTCCACATATTTCTCTATATCTATAGGAGATTCAGACAATATTGCACTATTATGTGTCTTTTTCTATCTTATCTCTAGGTCATTGTAATATTTACTTTAAACAAGAAGACACTCCACCTTATATTGTATGTATATTCTGTTTGTTGTGAGGGCGAAGGGTACTCACTAAGGTGTTTGAGAATCTCTTGGTTTATTTTTATATAAGTGTGTTCCACTGACAATACCGTATTTCTTTGTATTTCTCTGGAATAGTGTTTTATAAGAACTTAAGAATAATGAAGGCAAGTAAGAAGGCATGATGGCCTCTGTGGCAGCGCATATCAAAGCAACTACAGAGACTCCAGTTCTTGCCATGTTAGTTTTAAGCGTTTATGTGCAGACGGTACAGATCCAGTCCATTAGTATGAATACTGACAGATGCTAGTTTCCTGCCATAGATTAAGTTTTAATTTGTAAAGATCTAAATAGTGATAAAACAAAATATAAGCTTGTGGTCCACATGTTGCATAATATTCACTTGTGGAACAAACCTTTTGAAGATTATAACATTTTGGATAAATACCACTTTTACCCCACTTGTCTCCTGTGTTTGTATGACTAACACTGCCCCCTTTTTGTACATCATTTCTGAATTCAGCTTGTGTGGATCTGTGTTTTATTTGCACTGCAGTGGTAGCTTGCCAGCTCACCTATTATAGGTGATACCTTCTACCTTTTTAAAGCACCATAACAAGTCTACAACTTGTCATGGTATGGTGCCTTCAAAGTTCTCTGTAGGGCAAAATAGAAGAAGGAGAATTACATATTGTATTCGAATAATCTAAAAAAATAAATATATGTATATTAAACGTTTTTTCTCTTTGCAACACATAGGTACATGGCTCCTGAAGTATTAGATGAGACCATCAACATGAAACACTTTGACTCCTTTAAGTGTGCTGACATTTATGCTCTTGGCTTGGTTTACTGGGAAATAGCTCGTAGATGCAGTGCTGGAGGTAAGCTTGTTTACAATGCTTCAGCAGCCAAGGGTTACCTTTGATTAATGGCATTCTCACTGCTAATGCAAGTATGTGTATTTAGAGTAAACAGATCTCTAGCTATGCATTACATTGACAACTATCAATTATTATTTTGATGAATCTAAAATCTATGGTAGTAAATACATGGATTATAGAAATATTAGTCAGTATAAACACGACACTGAACTGAATTAGTTTTGTTGCTTTAAGGGTACCTTTAATACAGAGCCAGATTGGTGATATGAAAGCATACAACCTTAATGCTGTGCGGTCTGAGAGAGATCCTCCACTGCCCTAATACAAAAAGTAATAATTACTATTTAGTACATATACCCTCAATGAAAATATTTAATTATGTTTTTTTTTTTTTCATTGGTGGTATATCTAGAAACGGCTTACATAAAGCTGCATATCTCTTGTCTGAAGCCTTTGCAAGCCCTCCCCTTCTAACAATGCCCAGACTTTATGTGGCTGTCCAATCACAGACTTCCCAATGCAGCTCAATGACCTGTCTTTGCAAGGCAGTTGCTTTGGGCAGTTGTTGCTTCTTGAGTTTTAGCTTTACTGAGCTGCATAAACAAGGATGTTACAGGACCGGTTGTCTGACTGCATGGGGATTTAACAAGGTTAATTTGTAAAAGTTCCAATTTCTATTGAAATCTACATTTTTATTTTTAATTTTGCTTTTGTGAAATAAGGTGTTTGGAGTGTTCCTATAAGCTGACTTTTAGTGTCCTTCTAGAGCTATCTTTCTGAAAGACATGACCTGTCAATAAATCAAACTTGAATTTAAAGAATAAGTCTGCAAAACACCCTGTGCTGGCAGTGCAGCAATCTAGTGTATGGGTTAATGGTATAGTTTTCTCCTTTTAGCCCTATATCTGTGGGAACACTGCTTTTTTGGTAGCTAACTTGTCTACCTACATACTGCTGGTTTAGTGGTATTCAGTAACATTTAATGTTTAACAAGTTCAAAATAATGCAAAAACTGATGCAGAATCGGGTAATTCAGTAATTGCCGAAACTCATCTAAACCAAACAGACTGGTTTTACAAACGGTCAGACATCATAAGGTACCCTTTAAAAGTTACCACATTTACAGACAGAGGGTGTTGAATAAATTAATGGAAAATAAATGCAAATATTGGCCTTTAACAGTTACTATAACTTTTAAAATGTCATCCGAATTGTGTATGAAGCAAAATTCTGATATTGGTGTTTGTTTAGTCTATTATTGTATATTAAAGGTTTATGTATATGGTTGTAGGTTCCTGTCCTATATTAAAGGTAGAGATGAGTTTCTCTTACTCTGCCTTCCTCAACCCCTCCCTCCGCCCCCCAACACACACAATTCACTTAATTATTTTATTTTTTTAATCAAAACTTGATGAATGGATTATTATATTAAAGAAAAATAAAAGTAGTTTAGAGGTGACAGTTGTCCTGTAAGCTGTTTCACCAGTACTGAGCTCTTGTTTACAGTGATGTGTTGTTGTTTTTTTGTTTTGTTTTTTGTTTTTTTTAATTGTAATTTTGTTTTCTAGGCTTCCATGAAGAATACCAGCTTCCTTACTACGACCTTGTACCATCAGATCCATCTATTGAAGAAATGAGAAAAGTTGTGTGTGACCAGAAGCTGCGGCCTAACATACCCAATTGGTGGCAGAGTTATGAGGTAAAACAAACAGGGTTTTAAAAACTGCAGACTCGGTACTGAAAATACAACTTTAAGGATATTTTTTTGCTCTAAGAAACCCCAAGGTGCAGAATGTAAAATGCTTCTATCTGTGGAGAGGACTAATCAGAACATACTGTGTTTCAATAACCTAAAACTACCTTGTCTTAGTTTGACATAGTCTTATAGAAAAGAAAAAATGTATCCATACTTGCCTTAATTCTTTATTGCTTCTCATAGTTCAAGGCAGTACAATTAAAGCACTGTTACTGATATGCCCTGGAAATGATATCACTTCAGATCAAGAAGCAACCTGAATTGTAGTTTTCATATGCTGCCATTCCTAAATGTTAATGTTATTTTAAAATTAAAGGGACATTTTAAGCACCAAAACAACTTTAGCTTAATGGAGCATTTTTGGTGAATAGATCATGTCTCTGTAGTCTCATTGCTCAATTCTCTGCTATTTATGAGTTAAATCCCCTTTGTTTCTGTTCATGCAGCCCTAGCCACACTTCCCCTGGATATGGTTCGCACAACCATTTGATTTTACAGCAGCACAGTGTGGTTTATTGTAGAAGTTTTTATCGCCTGCTCTCGAACTTTAATCGCATAGAAGAGGCTGTTGCATGCTATTAACTGACCTGGAGATACAAAATTCTAAATTCAACACACTGTGCAAATTTAAAAATGTTAAGACTTATTTTTCAGGATGTGTGTTGGGAGGCTGTGTGAGTTACAGCCAAGGAATGTGTGCACAGGGCTACATAAATTTTTTTTTAATTTTTTTTTTTAAAAAGAGGTTTTTAAAGTGATTTAATTTCTAAATGACAGAATTGAACAGTGAGATTTCAGGGGCATGATCGATACCATAAAGAGGCTTCATTAAGATAGCGTTGTTTTTTTTTTTTTTTTTTGACAAGCACCTTTAAAGAATATAAATCACAAGTTCATTACCTAAATATAATGCTGTTGGGTTATTTTTTTTTATGTGTTTTTCATATATCAAGCAGTTTGGGATGGTACAGTGTTCCTAATATTATACTGGGCGAAGTCTTTATGCATTTGCAACCAATGAGGATATATGTTTTATAATTTCATGGTTTGTTTCCTGAACAGGCGCTTCGTGTGATGGGGAAGATGATGAGAGAGTGCTGGTACTCTAATGGGGCAGCACGGTTGACAGCTCTTCGCATTAAAAAAACACTGTCACAGCTCAGCATACAGGAAGACGTAAAGATCTGAAAATGCCAACAACGCCCCTGAGAAAATGTGGAAAATTCATACAAGCTGCCATGATGTAGTACATGAGTATGAGGTCTACCTCAAAGTTTCTTCCCAGACAACTGCCAGTTGAACAATGGGGGCCTCGTTGGCCAAAATGGAAGAGAACAGCACACTACAAATCAATTTTAGGTTTGGGTCTGAAACGAAACCCTTTTTTTCTATTTTCCTTCTATTTTTCTTTTTCCTGTTTTCCTAAGAGCATGAAGATACAGAATCAAATTCAGGTGATTGCCGCATTGCCTGACTTTCGTTTTTTTAAAACGAAATTCTCATGGTGGCTCCCCTTTTATGAGTGTAGGGTAAATTCCACTTTATTTTAGTTGTTCGTTCTAAATATTACTTCAGGGTATTGCCCAGTGCACCAGACCATGCTCATTAACTTTACTTGTTCAGGTTTTAGTGAGCAAGCTGAGGCTTCTCTTGGACTTACCCTACTGATAGACAAGGAGAACTCCCCTTTCAAAGGATCATGAAATCGCACTCCAGCTTTGTACCTAGTGACACTGGAGGTTGAACGGAAAATATAAAAACACTGTCCTCGTAGACCCGCGTCCATGCATGTGCAAGGGTGTGTGTAGCTATTTTTGACCTGTGTTTTGTAGATGCACACGTGTACATGTGAGCTTGTCTGCATGCGCAAATATGAAGCTCCACTTTTTGAGGTGTCCATGTGTAGGTCACCTTGGTGACACTTATTGTAAAGTTTGCATACAGGGCCACTTGTCATCTAGGTTTTTGCAAGAACACAACTTTGAGCTTATTTAATCATAACACCTACCATCCGCTTTCCAGAAAGAGGAGATCCGTGCTGGTGAAATCTATTGGCAATAGATATCTTTCAATAATAGACCCTCAGCTTGCGCTGTCCGCGAGGATGAGAAGCGAGGAGGACAACCTGCAAAAATCCGTCATCATTTGTAAATGAATCTCAGGTGTCAAGCATTTGCCAACAGCAGGGATTTTAGATGATTGTGCTCATTAAACAGACCGGCATAGGGAAGGTCCGCTTCCTTCTAGCCTGCCTTCTGCAAGATGTGGTCATACTTAAAACGGGAAGCAGTGCTTGTATTACTGTATCTTAGGGGTGGATAATATAACTCATGGAAAGCCTGTGGTGGGCATCCATCTCAGGACACAGCAGAGGCAGGAGAGAAAAGCAGGGTTTGAGCGATACATCACATTTTAATACAGGATCTTAGTTGAATGGGAGAATTATTTTGGTTAAACATCTACAGTACAATAACTCTGAAGCCATAACTTTTAACTGGATTGGGTTATTTTGTTGTGTTTTTTTTTTTTTTTTAAGTTTAAGGGGAAGAATAGGGATTTTAATGTTTTTTATTGAGTATTTTAATTCTTTGTAAAAAACAAAAACCTAAAAAAAACAGATCTCTCTATATGAATATATATACACACATTCAGAAGTATAAATATTACCTCTCAGCCTATTGTTTGTATAGTAATCACTACAAAAAAACCAAATGCGCCAAGCTATATTTACACTGGAACTATTTGTACTTGTACCTGGAAATTTCTTCTAAAAGCTGGAATGGATCTGTACTTATGTTACGTGTCACATTTTTATAATGTCATATAATCATTGTCTGTTCTTCAGGTGTACACCATTTTCTGTGTGTATCCTTCAGGGGTTTTAGTGACGTGTCCAAAGTTCTATAAATATATATATATATTTGTTTTTTTTCTGCTTTCTGTGCAGAACTGTTAATCTCCCAAATGATCTTGTCTGAGGTGCTTCTCTGCCTCACACAGCTCACTAGCATACTTCAGTGAAGCTGGCTTGTGCATTAATGGGGTGTATGTAAAAAGTTGTGATTTATCTTTTTTTATTTTTTGAAAGTGGGAGGGATTGGTGAACAATGTCCGTCGAGCCGTTGTGTATGTATTCTGCATTTTGTCGTTCTTACTCAAATATAGAATTTCCTAAGCAACATACTACATACATATGCAACATATCATCTTCCTAAGTTTTACTTGGCAAAAATGGATTCAAAACATGTGAACTGTGTGACTGCTATTGCATACTGCGATATATATATATATACTGTGGAATCATTTTGATTGCACTGATCTTGATGCTAGCTTTAAGCCCATCAAGGAAAATGTAGACGGCTTTTACTGTCTGCATCTGGTTTTTGTTATTGCCGAATAACACATGCACATTCCCATCAGGAATACTAAGCGTGCATAAACCAGAATATTTATAGTGATACATTTTGCTTGTCTTTGAACAAGGTTTTCCTTATATAGCCCAAATTTGTCACTGGTTAGGTGGTTTAATCCTTTCTTGAACATTAACACAAGAGCCTGGGTATGCCGACTACAATATATTACACACCATATTCTCGCACAGTCTGTCTTTAATAAAAAGACCCACATGTTGTCAGGATAGACATAAAAAAATCCTGACTGCTTTCTGACATTCGTAGTCTTTGGGCCTCCACATTATGAGACCTTTACTTAACACCATTGTTTAATTGTTTTACTACAGACTTGCTGGAATTGAGGCTCTAGTTCTGTAATCAAGACAACTTAATTTATTCAAGCCTTCATATTGTGCCAACCCATACCACGTTGGCCAGATTTTATTTATGTATATATTTTTTATTTTATTTTTTTCTCACCTCAATATGAATTATGATTCTGTCTTGACCTGTTGGCCTTTTCATTCTTTATATTTAATTTTACATTTTATTTTTTTAACTGTACACCTTTTTTTTTATTTAGCATTCTGGTTTGCATTTTGTTTTGCTGATTTACGAAGTAATGGAGAGAGAATCATTGGCCAACTTTGCCAATTAAATTGTTGTAGGCCGTATAAATTTTCAGTTTTCATTATTTGATCCCTTTTATTCAGTGCCTAAAAGGGATTAGGGTTGTCCTTTAAGTCTTGTTTGATAAAAGTATGTTTTTTTGTTTGTTTGTTTGTTTTTTTTTTTTGTGCACAAACAGTGTCCTTATTATGCAGGTGGATTTGAAAAGGCATTTATCTTACTGGGCAGTTTTCCAGGTATCTTTATGTATTATCCATAAGATACATGCCCGATTTTGATCTGCAAGCATTATAATAATTAAAATCGTCTAACTTGCATACATTAAGTATGGGCTTAATTTTTGTCACAAAACACATTAATTTGTAGAACATAACCACTACATTAATTTAAAGTGTCATATCTTTTCTGTTTCTTTCTTAACAGGGTTAACCTATTAATGTTGATCTCTGGGATAAAAAAAACTGCAGTTTTTTTTTTTGTTCTCTTTTGAAATTTTCCTTTTGGAAGATTATATATCTTTTGATGCTGCATTGTTTTGCTAAAGCATTATTTGGTGGAAACTTGGCCCTTTTTGTTTTTTTACATTTTTATCTTTTATGTACAGAGGGTGACTATTTTCTAGCTTCCGGCTGATCGGTAGTGTTTAGGCCATAAGCACATAACGTAGTGATATTAGAATCACATTTTTTAAGTTTGAATTGTAGCATGATTTCTAATCATTTCTCAGGATGTCCGAAAAAAAAAAAAAAAAAAGTTTTACAGTAATCAAGAGATAGGTACATAATCAACAAGGACAGCAAAAACTTCTCACAATCTCTACAGTCTGTTCAGAACTGCTGTCTGAAGGGTTCGAACTCAATAAGAATCCCTTTTGTTAAAATGCAGTTTGTTACAAGCAGCATTTTATGTCCGGGGTTGGCAGTCTCATCCGATGAACATGCTGGAATGTATATGACTACTATAACCACCAAGTGTCTGTCTATTGGTATCGGCTAATTCATATGTATATACGTGTACCCACATACATGGGTGGAATAACTGGATCATGGTTTTGTATTGATCAAAATAATTTTATAAATGTAGCTACTTCCTGGCACAATGAAAACTTAAAATTGTGAGGCTCTCTGAATGAATGATTCTTTTTCCACCCTTGCATGTGTGAGTTTAAACACAGTGGTACTCGATGTATCTTGTGGTTCAGGACTAACCGCAAAATGAAATAGACAAATTGGCTGGTACTGTAATCAGGCTATTTTTTATTTATTTTATTTTTTTAAAGACACATATAAATGTCTCTCTCACACCAAAGTAACCTCTGTGTCTAAAATTGCAGTCTTGAAAACTGTTTTTTATTGCTGCATGTTCATTCTCCATGGAGAGGTCGCACATTTTGAACTTAAAATGCTGCTTTCAGTGAAAGTCAATTGAATAGTTTTTAAGCAGTCTTTCTAGGGCCGAGCACACCACAGTGTATTACAATGCTCTCGTTCTGCTCCATGTGGGCAGTGATTGTGGTTAAGATGCAAGCTCTGTCTCTAGAAGTGATGAATCTGGTACTTCTCTTATCATCCAGGTGTTGTATTGGAAAGGACTGTAAAAGAACCACTTAGACACTTTACCTCCTCAGTATGCAAATGTAAATAAACTGTATTATAGAAAATCTTTTGTTAATATAAAAAGGCTGTCCAATTTCTGCTGTACATTAAAAGTTTGTTTTATTCATGTTAACTGTGTCTTTCTTAAATCCTGTTTCTGTGCAAGTGGCGACTCATGGGATGATTTATATACGAACATCAAAAATGGTGAAACTGAAGTTGAAGGATTAACATGCGCTATTTTAGAAAAAAACATTGGCATAACATTTGTGAAATGTGTTGTATAGCTACAACATAAATGTACCGTATATACTCGAGTATAAGTCGACCCGAATATAAGTCGAGACCCCTAATTTTACCCCCCAAAACTGGGAAAACTTATTGACTCGAGTATGACTAGGGTGGAAATGCAGCAGCTACTGGTAAATTTCTAAATAAAATTAGATCCCCAAAAAATACATTAATTGAATATTTTGTGTATATAATGAATGCAGTGTGTGTATATAATGCAGTGTGTGTGATGCCTTGGTGGGGGGGGAATTTTTTTTTTATTATTATTTTAATATTACATTTTGTGGGTTTTTTAAATTTTATTTTAATATTATAAATTTTTTTATTATATTTAAATTTGTATTTATATTTTTCTGTCCCCCCTCCCTGCTTGATACATGGCCAGGGAGGGGGGGCTCTCATTCCCTGGTGGTCCAGTGGCATGGGCTGTGTAGGAGGGGGCTGGCAGAGAGCTGTTACTTACTTTTCCTGCAGCTCCTGTCAGCTCCCTTCTCCTCCACTGTAAGTCTCGCAATCTATGTGCCGCGCGGAGTGTTGCCACGGTAACCCGTGGCAAAGCTCTGACCCCGCGGCTCTCGTGAGATTTACAGTGGAGGAGAAGGGAGCTGACCGGAACGGAGGAGAGAGAAGGGAGCTGCAGGAAAGGTAAGTTACAGCTCTCTGCCAGCCCCCAACAGGACCGCTGGGCTTGTACTGAGCCCGGCGGCCTTGTCTGTATTATGGCAATGTAAGTTGCCATAATACAGACAGTGACTCGAGTATAAGACGAGTGGGGTTTTTTCAGCACAAAAAATGTGCCGAAAAACTCGTCTTTTACTAGAGTATATACGGTATGTATGTTCAAACAGGAATTTGATGTATAGATTGCTGCTCAGACAAAAATAGAAAGATATGATCAAATAACTTGCTTATAGGTATTCATAAGGACCAAGAGAGAATTACTAGCAGAACAGTTTACTAAAAATGTCTGCAATAAGTATAATGCTCTCATACAGTAAGTACCGTTAAATTAGAAGCTATTTGAAACTTTTATTATCAATCTCTGTAATGTTATTGAAATGCCTAAAGGCATAAGAACAAACTTACTTGCATTCCCCCTGGACCCCTATGACTGTGCAAATGAATCTTTAAAGCTTTCTTCACTATTTGGAAGGAGAGTAAAGGGTGTCATTTAGAGCCCCTTTGCAGACATTAAAAGGGTGGAATGGGTTACTGGCAGAAATTTTTTTTTTTTCTAATATATGGTATAAACTTTATAGACTGGATTTCATTCTGCAAAGCAAATTAAATTTAAACGTGTATAGACATTTTTGATAGTAAAATCAGTTAAACTTTTTTTGTTTGTTTGTTTGTCAGTGTCTTTAGCCCATTTCCAATGTTTGGCATTAGTCAAAATATGTTGAGTTTCAAGAGTGCTGAAGTAAGGAGTTCCTAGAGATGTTACTACGTTTTACATACATTATCTTAAATTTCACACAAATTGATACCTTTCTTCTATAGCTTTATAGACCTGACAAAAGCTCTTTTCTGTAGCATTAGCTTATATGTATGTATTTTACGTAAGGCCAGGGCCGGCTTTTGGCTTCCTGTGTGAAACATCTTTGCAGCTCCCCTCCCTGGTAATACCCCTACATGCATGTATATTGTGTAGTGTTTGTGTATGGGATTCAGGAGTAGATGGGGGGCATTGTGGCAGTAGAAAGGGGGTCATGGGCACTGTGGCAGTAGAAGGGGGGGGGAGGCAGGGGCACTGTAGGAGTAGCTGGGGCTCCTTCCTGCTTCCAACGCACCAGGCTGCTTGCTTAGCTCCATACTGCCATCTTAGCCCCGCCCCTGCCCTGCACTTGGCTCCACCCCATTGACATCACTGATAGACCCAAGTAGAGGAAAACTCGCGACCTGCATTATAAGAGTGTTCTGTGCACTCTCTCTCTCATACCTGTCACCCGGGGATGTGTGAGCTGTGTTGGCCACATGGCACCCTGTGCGACCGCACAGTTCGCACACCCTTAAGGCCGGCTCTGTGTAAGGCATTTCTTATAACAGATGATTAAGACCTCCAGAGTTGTTGCTGGATTGTAGCAAGCTTCCAGCGTCCAGAGCAAAACAAAGCCACTTGTCTCTCCAGCAATCAGTAAATACTTATATGAATTCATAGAGGCCAGCACATTCCACAGCACTGTACAAATGGTATGCAAATATATCAAAACCTGGTGGAAACTAGGTAAATAGAAGCAAGGAGAGAGGGCCCTGTTCTAACATACATACTATATTAGTGAGTTTTGCTTTTACAAATGTAGATAAAGCATTATTTAGAAATACAACAGTCCTGTCTGTAACGCCAAATAAATATTGCTTCAAAACGGCTTTAAATATATATATATTTTAATGCTGGTTATGGAATGAGACTAGTTTTTAGCAAGGGTACAGATTGTGCATAGGTGGTGTGGGTTGTTGCACAGAGCAACTTATAAATAGATATTCCAGTAAAAGAGGGTTACAGCCTATAAGTTGGTGTATGAGTTTACAGAAAGGACGTAGAGGGGATTGAGATTTGAAGACAAAGTTGTGAGAAAATGAAGTTGCTAGTATTTAATGAGATCATAGAAAATACTATCAGAGCAATTTTGCAGATAGATAATATTTAAGGTAAATATTAAAGGGATACTATAGGCATCAAAACACATTCAAACACATTTTCTGTTAAATGAGGCAGTTTTGATGTATAGATCATGCCTCTGCATTATCACTTCACTACTATTTAGGAGTTAAATCACTTTTGTTTATGCATTCCTCGCCACACTTCCCCCTAGCAGTGACTCACATAGCCTGCATGAAAAAATAGTTCAATTTTCAATCACATCTTAACTTACTTTTGTTGAGGGTAAACCAAGATAGGAGAATGGGCCACAGAAAACGTAAGTGCCCTTTGATTAGTTTTCTCTCACGTCTCAAATAGCTTTTAGCTCTTATGTGCAGTTATAGAAAGAACCTATATTCTTATTTATATAGCGCCATCAGGTTCCGTAGCACTGTACAATAGGTGGTCTAACAGACATATAATTGTAACTGGATGTACAGGAACAGAGCGGTGGAGGACTCTGCACAATGAGCTTACATCATTCGCACTTCATAAAAGCAATTCCAAAAAGGCAGTCTTGATAGAAACAGATCTGAAATGTCTACAAATTCCCTTTACATGAGAGCAACCATTTTCATTTGAGAATTTTTTTTTTATTTTTTTTTTAATAATACAATATCACTGCAATGTACTAAAATTTAGAGGGGAGCATGACTTTCCCCCCCACTTCTCCATACTAGCCCCCTCAGTCTGCTACCTTGTCTTATAATATTTATAAATATATAAAAATAAGTTTTGCGCTCAGACTCGCACTACTCCTGGGAGGCAGCAAACACATATAATAAAAATCAAAGAGGAGAGTTACCTGCGTACTATCCCAAATCCATATGTATATTTAAATAACTGGAAATGTTTTAGTCACTCCAGTGACCACTTGAGTGTAAGCTGCCACAAGTCAAGGCAAAACCACTTCGGTGAGTCCTACACTAACCATTCAACTTGATGCTTTTTTTGGTCTGACACATTCTCTCTTTATAGAACAAATTCTGTGTTTTGTTGAAGACCTTGCGTCTTTCAGATTTAGGTAAAGAAAAATCTTGAATGAAACAAAGGAGTATTTTTTTTCTAAACCTCTACATATTTAATCCTTAATAGGGAACACAAGTAAATGCAAAAAATACAAAATAAAAGTCCTGCGGGGACCGGAGCCATTGTGCAGGACAGTCGTGTGTAAAGCGTGCTCCTGTTTCACTGGGTGCCAAGCCTGGCTGAAATGCTGACTTACCTGCAAAACTGCACAACTTACATTTGGGAATCCCGGATGTGTGTTTTGAGACACAGAGGCTTAAATCCACCGGGAACCCGAGAAATCTAGTTGAGGCCTACTGGAGACGTGGCAGGGGAGAGGGGGCCGATGATCTCGCTAACATCTCCACACACAGCCCCACGTTGCAGGTTAGCTTACACTCAAAGATACCATAGGCACCAATATATGAGTGAGAGAGAGAGAGAGGTGTAATGTATACACAAAGTGAGAACACTAAAAATCATTGTTATACTTTGAGCACAAATAACATGAAATGCTAGATGAATAGAAATGTAGATGTATGCATATTAAGAAATGTGTAATTTAATCTCTTATATACGCAAGAAAGCAGGCTTTTGCACTATTTTGTGAGCACCATGCGTTAAATATGGTTTTGGTGAATAAACAATATTTCAAACTGCTTATGGTTTAAGAAATAAAAAATAAAGAAATTAAAAAAAAAAAAAGCAGAGATCTGATTAAAGGGACACTAGGCACCAAGACCAGATAATTTCACTGAAGTGGTCTAGGTGCACTGTCCCTGTAAACTGAACAGCCACTAGAGGCGCTTCCTGGAGTTTTATGGAGTTTGAATCTATGAAATGATGCTGGATGTCCTCACGCTTTGCATGATGACATCCAATGTTAAGCAAAACCCCATAGGAAAGCCTAATGCATAGTGCACTCTCGGTTCATATGCATTAAATCGTCGTCGTCCTCCCAACCCAATTGACTGACATCACAGGAGGCGGCGCGCGATGGTGCTGGAATTGGGTAAGTGAATAAAGGGTTATTTAACCGTGGGGTCGGCAGAGGAACATGTTCATGTTAGGAATTCATCAATTTTTCCTAACAGTAAAGTGTTCCTTTAAACCATTGTTGGTGAAATTAATTAAGACTGTCTTCTCCTGCTTCCCTTATATTTGAGTTACTTTTCTATGGATTTTAAAAGAAC